TAAGGGCATCTTGAAATGAAAACTCTCAAAGTCATCTTTGGCATTTTTTTTTTTGTTCTTTTGAGTATATATTTTGTAGCGCTTTTTATTTTGTTTTATTGTTCCCTCCAAGCCTTAATGTCTCTTCAATAGAGAAGTATTTCCTGGGTTTCATCGCAAGAGTGCATTAAATATCATCTAATGCTGACAGCAGAATTCTCTTTATAGCATCAGCTCAGGAAGTAATCACAAATGAAAAAGAAAATGAAGTTGTTGAAGAGAACAACAGGGACAGCATCCTCTTTAACAGTGTTTTCCAGCCACAGCCTGATTATAATTCACCTTCGCTGAAGGATGAATTACTGGACCACCTTCAAGGGTAAAAACAACATTGTGTATATTCATAAGTTTGTCTTGAGTGAGTTCTGTCCAAAGGTTAATACATTCGCACACCCGTTTGAGTCATTAGGTGTGGACAGAATCTGAAGTGTTTCTTATCTTTCCATAAAATTGCTCACAGTTTACCATTAAAGAAATGCCTACAAGTCAATCAGGATGAGTGTCAATCAGGATAAAGCGTCCTTTAACAGACATGTCAGAGATATGGTACATTTACAAGGCATATTAAAGAGTAAAACCTTTGATGATTGAAATAAACTCCTGGGCCATGCATACAAAGTATTTGGGATTTAAATAAGCTTCTAAAATAATGTACCACACATTCCATGCATGGTGGATTGATTTATCCTGTTGCTTGTTAGCTATAGACCATTTGGCACATTTATGCAGGTGATGCTCACCTTCAAATATTTACAGGAGACACATTTAGAACAAATGCAATTTGCACAACTTGCATTTCAGGAATAACTCCAGCTTTTCTTGAATCTGAGAACTGTAGCCCTATGGATTTCCATTTAGTACGATTATATTATTTAACCTTTTTCTTGCAGGTTGTAATTTTACTTAAACGTAAAAATAAGATACACTGTAGTGCTGCATATTAAACTACATAAATATCTGAGGTTTAAATTAACTGCATTTTAAACATTTACATTCCTAAAATGGTGCTTACAATAATGCATGAGTGACATTACAATAGTATGGCAGTAACTCTGCACAGTGAGAAGCCCTCGGTCATGCAACACTTTAGTAAGTTTCGCTCAGAACTGCATTTCTACATTAGGCTTACTTTAAATAGAAAATCTGAACATGTCTTTGACCACTACTTAGTTTCTCTCAGATTAATCAGTCAATCTGTGTTTCCAGGTTTCGGGAGTAGGTGCCCAGTTATTTCACCATTTGGGGGTTAAAAAAAACCCAAAACAAAAAAAAGACCAAGAAGATCTGGAAATTCTTTAGTTTTTGTAAACCAAAACCTTTAATCACAGTATAAACAAAAACAAATGACAAAAGTTGAGGAATTGAAAGCAAAGAGTCCACAATATCCAGAGGAAAAGCCTGACATCAGGCAGGTGTAGAATCAATTCTTCAGCTGTTGTCAGCTGCTGCTCTGATGCCACTGGTTGGTGTAGTGGATGCAACTCAAACCAGATACAGAAGGGTCCCGGATCTCCGGCTGTGCTCACCAGCCTAGTGGTTGGCAACGTGATATCAAGGCCATGGTGGAGGGGACAGTTTACTTGGACCTTTGCCTCATCTTTCTCCTTTTGCGCTTCAGCCTGCACAGTGACCACCGCAAATATCACTTACATGAAAAGTCTTACAAAAACGAACTGTGAAAATGTAGCCTGTATTCTACTGTATCACCGTTAAAATGTGCACAGTACAAACTCTTACCTGCGCATGCGCTTCTTCCTCCACTGCGAAAGAAAAACAAAGTAAAAAATTAAGATTTACTTGCACATGCCTGGACACTTTTCAACTATACACAAATCCAATGCAAATAGGATATATTTGGGGTTTGACAAACACACTTTTTATAGCTAACTTCTAATAAACATGCCGCGTTAGCTCGTCACAATGTTCAAGCCTGTGGTCTAGCTAGAAAATGTTAGCATCATTACAAAGTGCATTTATCGGATTATACGGACATAAAACACTAACCTTGGCTCTCATGTTGAGACGGGAAGGCTGAAAACAAAAGAGAAATATTTTAGTTTCCGTCGATGTATCTAAAAAGAACAAGATTGACTTGGATTCTAACACGTAAAATTCACACTTACCGACCGCTACGGAATCGTCTCCACGAAGGACGTCATACAGCGGCGACGTTGTATTTATATTGCTTCTGACGTCATTTTCATTGGACGGCAGTGAAACATGTTTTGCAGAAAACAACGTGCCAAACCGTTTTCCTCGTGTCGTTAAGCCATTTTGTCCGGCTGTTGCGGTTTTTATTCCCGTAAAAATAGTTGTACAAGCGTTTGTACAGTGCACATATGCACTGATCCTCTAATAAATATGCCCAGAGTATTTTATATGTATTTTCTGTGTGTGAATTGTGCTTCACTGTTTGGCCTTTAGGCTACTATAAAGGGAGACTTAAAAACTTAAGATTCTAACATTTAGATATCACTGCACTGGAAAAGTGCATTTTGGATTTTGATTTTCTTCTTTTTGACCAACATCACACAAATTTTTCATGCTTCAGCATTTTGCATTTAAAATGACTTTCTTACCAATGTGTTAAAGGCCTTGAAATTACATGTAGCCCATGGCTGGGTAAATAAAAATAAAAAGAAGTCATGTCAAGAAATACAATTTGCAAAATCTTTTTTTTTTTTGGTTCATAGAGTGACAGGAGTGCATTTTTGGGAGAAGACAGGACCTCTGTCTTTTTTAATATCCAGACTACAGGTGTGACCATTAAAAGCCTTCGCCTTGATTTGATTCTTGATAACTAATGCAATGAATAAATAATGTAACACACAGGCTGAATAAACCAAAAACAGAGGCACACAAATGATGTCAGGTGGTTTTTTAATGTTTCCAAAAATAGTCTCTGAAACTGGGATTTGTTTTACAAAAGCATCCATATATTTAACAGGTATGGAATTCTTATGTAAACACAGACTGTCAGACTCAGTGGTGGCACCAGAAGACTCAATGCTGAACCCTTGGCAGGAGTTAAGACCATCCACGACTGAAAAAAGAAATTAATTGCTCACTCATTAAATAACTGAAGCAGTAGGTCATAAAATGTCAGTTTTAGAAATTGTTAGCTGAGTAACCTACAGTAGACGCCTAGAAGCATACACAATGAACTAGTGCACAGACCTAAGCAAGAGCAGTATAAATGCCGTAATTGAGCTGAATTCAACAGTAATGATGACTAATGATGTCATGCCTATAAATTGCGTGAATGTTGTACGACATCAGGGTTTGAGACAGGTGTTTCCACTTATGCCCACGACAAGTTTACACTCATTTCAAAGGTGTGGCTTCAGGTGCATGGTCTAAAGGAAGATATCCAAATGCCACACAATTACACTGACACAGTATTGTGTCTTCGTCATCCTTGGCCGCTCTGTCAAAACTCATTTTACATTCCACATCTTTCACTACAGTTATTGTGGAGAATGAATGGAAGGCTTAAGGTCGGTTGAATGGTGAAATGTTCCAGTGAGAATATGCCCTTGTACAAAATATTCTCCTTTGTAGTAGAACCATGTCCACTGTTAGGAGAATAAGGCTGTCTCAAGGACAGTAAAATTTACTGGGGACGCACGTGTGTGTGTGTGTTTTTTTGTTGTTTTCTTTTTTAGGCGGAGTGGCAGAATTTAGGAGCAGCATCATCCCAGACTGACATCAGTTAGATTCAGAGGTATTCACAGCGGCTATGCCCACAAATGCCTCAGACAGCTGGGACAAAAGGATTCGTGACGTCTGTTCTTTGGGTCATCAGATGTCGGTCACAATTTCCTGGAGAGAGGGAGAATCTATTCTGCAGCTTCAGTCTCCATCGCCTGTCCTGTTGCATTCTCGACAGTCTTTGAAGCCTTTAAAAAAAGAAAAAAATGTAAGTTAGAGCCGAACATTTTGAAAACACTCTAGTTAACAACAGCATCACAATGTCCATTAACTCACCTTCTTTTTCTTCTTCTTCTGAGTCCTACGGCTGGCTGAGCTTTGGAGCAAAGCCTTTGTAGTGGAGGAAAAAAAAAAAAAAAAGAAGACAAAAATGACCTCTTGAGTACAGCACACAATACATCAACACATAATGGCTTTGAAAATGCCAAGTCAGCTAACAGCATACTGTAGCGGCCCCATTATTTTAATCCTTTGTTCTTGAGAAGAGGATGCAATATCCCTCCCGTCAAACGCATTTTACCTTCAGCTCGGGGTCCTCCACCTCATGCTCAGACTTGTAGAGTTCTGGCTCGAAGAGGCTGTTTGTGATTCGCAGAGGTCCGTTGGCCATGAGCAGCACAGTGAATTTGAACTGGGCAACAAACTCACCTGAACAAAGAGAGCATGGGGATTTGCGTTAAAGTCAGGTTATAAGTAACCAACAAAATTCAACTCTCATTTTTTCTTTTTTATGATTTATGACATTATAAGTTAGACGTTATTCATAATAAGACATTTCTGAGTTCTCTACTTGTAGCCATGGCTGCGCCGTTTCCATAGAGGTACAGGACTTTATAATGTAGTGAAAAATGAGCCGCAAGCCCCTGTGCTCTCATATGGACATAATGGAAGTAATTATTAACCCAAGGGTGGCTATGAGCATCGTGCATGTCAACTGTATTTGAGTAATTTAGAGACACGTTTATTCTTTATTTATAGTCAGCATAAAACCAAATGTGCAGTTCTGTTCTCCTTTTTATTTTCTTGGTCGAGTTGAGGCTAAGGTGGTTAGTTAGTTTTCGCAAGTAGTTATACAATAAAACTATCAATTTGGACAAATGAAAACAATGACCTGAAGGTGACGGTACATAAAAAGCCCCCAAAGTTGTTAAAATTCTTATCACCATTAACAGTCTTGTTTTCCCATCAGGTAGCTTATCAAAAGTTTCTGTCTACAGAGACATCTAGTGGACAAGGAAGGTCAACTAGTAAGTGAATATCCTCTAAAACGTCCTATTACATAAAGTGCGTGACTTAAGTGGGCAAACCCTGAATATCTTTTCAAGCTGTATCCTAACGTAGAAGTGTACGTTTTGTTGTCTGCGTGATTAAATATAAACCAAAATTCCAATTGACTTGTATTTTGTTTTCCAACAGTGAATCAGATCGAGAGACATCAGGTCATATTCTTGTTTATACATCTCAAGCAGACAGAAAGCAAACAAAAAAACACACACTTGTATTCTTATATCTGCTAACAGTAGGAAATGGTATGTTCATATCCAAGCTACATGTAAAAATCAAACAATTCGGTTATATTTTAGTTATTAAATCCAAGCCAGGAAACGAGAACTTAAGTAGTTGTCTTGTTACCATATATTGATTAAATGTCGTCAACAGGAGAATATAAACGTGGGATGGAACAGCTACAACTGCTAAATTAATCTTAAATGAATTGGCACTTCTGATAATCAAAAAAATAAAAATAAATCTTCTAAACTTTTTAAATGGGAGATTTTTCAGGTGAGAACTTGCAGCATTCTTTTGACACTTTCTAGACAAAACAGATGTAACTCTCAGGAATCGAGATGCGTCTTCGGCTACATATTTAAATTTCCTGGTACCAGCTTGATACTGTGTTGTTACCATGGTTACAGGTTGTCATTAATGATCAGTATCAACTCAGGATTAATGGGTCTTACCTAATGTGAGGCACCAGAGTGAGCGAGAGCAGAGGAAAATGACATGCTGCTCAGCCCTCATCAGTAACCCTCATCCTAAGTGTTCTGGTTCCGTTTCTGTCTGCATGTATCTGTTAACCTAAATTAGGTGAAACCAACCGAACCAAGTGCACAGTTTACCGGAGCGCGGCGGCAGACCCAGGCCGACCTGGCCATGAAGTGGACACTCTACTTGTGCTGTGTCATTTTTCTACAGGTTCAAGTACATTGTGAAGTTTTCCCAGAAACTCTGAGAACATTTTGGTCACATACAAAACATCCCTTCAGGAATCTTTATGGTCGCTTAAACCCTTAATTACATCCTTCATTGTTATACTCACCCTCTTTCTCATGCAGCACAGTGAATGGCTGCAGCAGCTCATGTTTGGCACACTCCACCACACCCAACCTGGCCTTGCCTTCATCCTCAAACGCTCTAAGGACACAAGCAGAGAAGAAAAGAAAATTAGGTGGATGAAACTAGAGCAATTAAGTGGTGCCACAACCACCCCGGAAATCTCATAGGCCACCCCAGATCTGACGATAGAAATTCCCTCATTGAAACTCCCATGTCCAAGTTTCAGTAGGTGCAAGTGAAAGCAGCACTGGATTACGTAATAGCTGTGTGTCGCAGCAGACAGTCGGTTGTGCAGCTTGTCCATAAGCATCACAGAGAAGACTACAGACGAGTTTTAGTTGACAGAGGCCCACACAGACCTCAAAGCGTTAACAGGAGCTGAAATGTGTAAATTATCCCCGACATGAAGACACGACTGATCTAACTGTAAGTAAATTCGATATATCATATTGTGCTTCTCCTAGGCATTGCTTTTCTTATGTTGTCATTTTGTATTTTTGGAGCAATATCTGACAATAGATTTTTTTTTTTCCCCAGGATTAATAAAGTGTTATCTTAAATGGCTGCGTGCCATTTTCTTCACTTCAGACAGGTGAGCTGTCACACAGAGTCACAGTTTATAAACTGCAGTTAAATCAGTCCTGAGCTCCATCACTGCTGGATATTATTTTACTGTAAAAGTCTGATAGTAACGTGATATTATATTTTCTGTTGAATCAGGTTTTTTTAATTTGGGAGACTTTTCTGTTCCACACCAACATATTTGCAGCAGTGACATTGATGTGCACACTGAGGACACAACATAGCTTCTAATCATTAAAGTATCAACCAAAGTGTGATAAAGGGTTCACAATGAAAACACATTTTATTGTTCCATAAGTTGCTGTGGATCAGTTATCATCACACATGGACAGAATTTTCAGTGTTGAAATCATAAATAAACTATGGGTCAGCATTTCTTCTCCTGAGACAATTTAAATGGTGGTCCCCAAAATACAAAAAAAATGCTAACTGTACCCGTATTATTTCATCAGAAAATTAGCAACATGTTTTTAACTTGTCACTTTGCTACAACAGCATGATACAATTCCTAAAATTCAGATATACACTAAGATTTTTAGCAGCCAAATCTGGTCATCCCTATAAAAAATAAAATTACTAAATTAAAAACAAAAAGCAAAAAGAGTGACATATCCGATCTGAAGTTTAAAAAAATAATAAATAAAAATGTACCTCAGGGTGAAAGGCATCGTATCGAAGCGCCTCTCCATCTCACTGAAGAAAGTCCGAGATGTCTTCATCTTCAGGCCGTACACCTTGTTGGGGTCTCGTTTGTAAACGGTGGTCCTCTGACCTCCATCCTTTGCCTGAATCACAAAACATATGAAATCCTTGACTTGATGGAATTTTCCAGCCTAAGTGGAAAAATCGCCTCTGTGCCAGATTTCTTCTCACCTTCCCCTCTCCAGTGCTGATAAGCACATCCACTGCATAAACCTCATGCACCTCAAACTCAGCCTTCTCGTGGTCCTTTCTATAAATACAAAGTGTTGAGGTCATCCACCGGTTAAAGAGAACACAGCGACAACAGGCGTATGCAGAGGAAACTCACTTTTGCTGGTCCGTTGGGTTTTGGATGATCGTTTTCTCCCCATCAATCACATGTTGTTTGAGCTGATGGGACAGCATGCCTGTGCACATTGAAGGAATGGAATGAGTGTCCAACTTACATGAAGTACATGTACAATAAACCGCTGGGATCACAGAGCTTCAAAGTGCCAAATGTTCACACAAACCTACCCTCAATAGGGGAGCACTTGAATGACTTTGCGATCTTGTTCCAGGCCTCTGTGACCTGTGTGTTCTGGAAGAAGAGACATAGTGTGAGTTATTAAATGAGGTCTAAAACAGTGATCCTGATGGTCATGTCAGTGGAAGAGCTTTACCTGGTTTCCTGGCTTGACAAGACGAATAGCGGCTTCAGCACAAAGGTGAGCTGCTTTGATAACGTCAGCTTTCCGACCGGTCAGTGGGTTTTCCTGTTGCAACACAAGAGGCAAGTTAAGGACTAACAAATTATTACTAGCTGGTAATGTTGCAATTAGTGCTGCTAGTCAAGTAGCAGCTTATGAAGACATACCTTGGTCACTCCAACAACGAAGCTGTGAGCCACATTTGAGATGAAGCCATCGACATGCACACCCAGATCGCTGCAAACACACACAACAGGAAAACACGAGGTAAAGAAAGGATGCAACGCAAATAAAACAAAGTATAATTAATCTCACATGTGATAGACATGTGTAAATTTAGTGGCTTACATTTTGATAAGGTCCCCATCCTTGAGTATGACATCTGGGTCGCTCTTCAGAGGGGAGTAATGGCATACACAGTTGTTAACTGACACACAAGTAGGAAAAGCGATACCTGAGGAGGAAGAGAGAGAGAGCGAGAGAGAGAGAGTGAATGAGGGGGTGTAGAGTCAGAGACACTGATGGTGACTCATGAAATGCAACCAAAGACTTACCTTTCTTCATATCTTTTTCCTTCTTGAAGATTTTCCCAGTTTCTGCCGCAATGAAAGCATCTCCCTTTTCACAGAGGCTGAGCACGGAGACTCCGGCCGTAGCCGCTCCAACGACAGTCTTCAGGGCCTCTGCAACACAAGAGATGTAAAAAGAATAGCCATGATGTGGTTAAAATGACATGTCAGAGACAGCGTGTACAATATTGGACTGTTACATTCATCATCCATTCATTTGTTGATCATTTTCTGGATAAAAAAAAATGCCTGGTGGCCTACTTGCATCTTCTCTTTTGTCTAACCAACAGTCTGAAATCACCTGTTAAATTTCTGCTTAACTAATAATTTCAGCCTTAATATAGTTGGTACTTTTACTGATTACATGAACAAATGCCAGACTGCCCTCACTGCAGATAGTCAGATAAGTCAGCATTAACTATCACCGTGTCAGTTATTTGCGGAGTCCCGACAGCAGGTGACACTGAACAGCTCATTTCATTTTGAATAAGCTGATGTTACGTTAGCGAAGAGATCAGCATTTGACAGCCTGTCCGACGGTTGCATATCAGCTGGAAACACCACGAGTCCAACAGTTAATTAGTTGGCTTTTATCAAGATAAGTAGCTTACAATATGAAATAACATAGCAAGGACACGGGGATGAAAAACAACCAGTCACTAGGAGGTTATACTAAACTGTGTTGTGTTTTTCTTTGATGGATTATTTATCAAACAGCTGAAATGAGTCCCAGGCACCACTTTAATTACTACACTAGTTCAAATGAACTTTGGATGATGTTCTGTGTTGGATGGTTTTATGAAATGCATTTGAGCTTTATATAGCAGGAGGGTCAGCTGTTCAGTCTCCACAGTGGCAGATAAATCATGGGCAAACATAAGGACTGCAGCTGAATGAATGTAATGTGAGTGTAGAGGAAAGTGTATGCATGCTGGTTGAATGAAAGTTAAGAGTATATGTGTATTTAGAATGCAAAATCATTAATAAAGTGCAGCTGCAAACACTCACTTTGCTAGATTTGTATATATTAAAACAGCTCTGAACTATGGCCTCACAGTAATGATGCTGTGTACATGTGGCCTTGCATATAATATACTGCTTAAAATATTTGCTTCAACCACAGATAATGACCGTTACTTACGATTCAGAATGGTGACTTAACATTGAATTAGTGCATCATTTTTCAAAGGGTCAATAAAGAATCCACTGGACGTAACTCAACGCACCAGAGATGTGTTAATTGGCTTCTGCTTACTCCAATTGTGACTTAAAATGACACCATTTAAAGCAACTAAATATTCAGGGAAGTTGCGCCAAAAATTCAATTTGTATGAATTTGAATTAGCAGCAGGGAAACATGTAAATGTCGGCTACACTGTGTGGAACGAGCTCATATTGTCATTCAGTTTTTTACTTGTCATTGTTATCTGTTAGCACTTACAGCTAGCTAACGCCTGCTAGTCAGCTAGCTCAGCCACATAGCCGCCTAGCTTACAGGGCTAGTGTGACAGCAACATGGCGTTAAACACGCACGGGCTACCGTAAAGAAAATCCCTGCTTAAATGTTTACAAAATTCCCGTTTTCTTCGTTTTAAACAAAGGCCCTCCTCCTGATACGATCTGTCCGTGCTCCTGCGGCGGCACATGGCACAGCTGCTGTCTGGTGTGACTAGCTGACACTGCTAGCTAACAGCAGACGGATCCGGAGACTTGTGGATTGATCAAAACGGCTCGTTAACGCTGCATTTCACTTACGATTCGCAATCTCGGCGCCCATCTTGTACTTGGTGACCACCAGATCATCGGCGATGGTCTGCTCCTGCGTCTCGTCATCTCCAGACATGTTGGCAGTGTGTCCGCGAACTCAGAGTAACTTTTTCCCCGGCGGGTGTCAGTCAGTCACAGGATGGACCACGCTGCTCTGTGCACCGGCCCGCCCGACTCCGGCCGACACTCCACGATCACTAGATCCCGCCTGTTGCCGAAGACTCACACTGACGGCGAGATGGTTCCCCTCTAGCTCGCCTGCTGCCAAAGAGTCTCACTAACGTCAAGATAGATATCTTCTGACTCGGTGCGTTGATTGTTACTGTTGCACCCAAAGACGCTGATGGGCAACTATAACAAACAAACTGTTTTCTTCCTTAGATGGGTTATTTTAACACATGAATGATGTGCCTAATTGTTTGAATGGAAAAGTACTTACATGCAACACATTCCACATTATATTGACAAATCTGTGGCATCAACAAGACTACCTGTACTTGGACTCCAGTCCCCAGTGTTTGCTGGACAACAACTTTGTCCAAAGGAAATATTCAAGGTGAAGAACAGATATCTGTGTTTTGTGTGTGTAAAAAAATAAAAAGATGAGATTACAGACTCCAGGGGCAGCACTGGCAGTCAGAATGAATAGAATGAACAGTTGGGCAACGATAGAGTAATCGTGCCAGTGTATTTGTTTTTTTTGTTTTCAATTCAATTCAGTTCATCATCCATCCATCCATTATCTATACACCACTTAATCCTCACTAGGGTCGCGGGGGGCTGGAGCCTATCCCAGTCGACTTAGGGCGAAGGCAGGGGACACCCCGGACAGGTCGCCAGTCCATCGCAGGCCACACTTAGAGACAGACAACCAAGCACACTCACATTCACACCTACGGACAATTTAGAATCACCAATTAACTTCAACGTGTTTTTGGACTGTTGACTTCAGTTCAATAATACTTTATTGATCCCTTACATAGAAATTTCGTGTGTGTGTGTGTTTGTCTGTCTGTTAACAGTCTAGCGCTTTACAGGAGAGGAGTTTGAACCTGAAACTTCATATGACCTCGGCATGGTCCCTTCTTGGAGTGATTAGAGTGATTAGACATCAAAGGTCGCATTTCCCCCAAAAAAGCTCTGTATGACTGAAAATGCACAAAAAGACACAAATTTAGTATGCTAGCTTAGGAAGACATTTGAGGCCTATAAACTGGTGATGTAACATATGATCTTGAGACAAAAGTCAAGGTGACAGTGAAGGTCTTAAATCGTCACAAATTTTAAATCGATTATAAGGTCATACATCTTAGGAGCTTAGCTCGGTGTGTTCCACATCTCCTCTCTGCTGTTTGTATGTCTGTAGTTTATAGTGCCAGTGTCACCAAATACAAGCCATAGACTGTAGATTTTTCATTTTATCAAATGATAAGAAAAAATAAACAAGTTACCAAAATAAATGAGACTTTTTAAAAATAAATCAATATTTCATTGTTTTACTTTATAAAGACACAAAGACAATGTAAAAAAAAAAGAGAGAGACTGCTTTACACAACACATCGCTACAAAAGACTGGCAACTTGAGAAATAATCATATAATTTTTATAATAATTCATGTTAATATAAAAAGACAGACAACAGAAACAGGTCTTCTCACATTACTGCTACAATTTACGCATTTGTAACAATGAAACAAGATGCTTTCAACTTTGACATTCAAACATGATCAACCAGCAATAGCTTTTATGATGGTTCTGTACCATCTTACTATTGGATCCATGTATCATTTACTGTACAAAACTGTGTAATAATAATTTGGTACACTTCATTTAACATTTTTTTCTCCTTAAAAAAAATTTTGAATGCAAGGAACTCAGTAAAAAAGTGGAAAACATTCCAAAATTATATCAAAATTTCTGACAGGAATTTCAGTAACTGCTGCAGTTACAGCCTCTCTGTCCCAGGCCACATTATTAGGTGCGTACAGCATCTGGCTTCAGGAACAACCTGCTGTGCCAGTAGTCTGGGTTGTCAAATGATGTGTTGCTGCCAGGTTCCCCCACGCCAGCACACACCTTGATGTATTCCCCGATCCCCGCACACCTGCCGCTGCCCATCTCCTCAGAAACATCCCTCCCCTTCACTGGGAGGTTCTCGTACTCTGTGTGCTCCCACCCACCAGGCACGACTCTAAATCTGGTCATCTCCTCGTACTCCTCCAGCTTCTCTCCCCTCGCTGTCAGCACATCTGGCCCGGGCTCGATCATGCTGCTCGGGTTCCCCTGAAGACTGGCTTGTTTGTTTGTGTTGTGGCACTTCTCCTTTTCCTCTTCCTCCTTGTGCTCTTTTTTCAACACCTCCTCTTCCTCTGTCTCTGCTTCACTCTGTGCAGATGTTTGTCTCTCCCATTGCGGTTCATCTCCCTCTGTAGAGTCGCAGCGCCTGATGTCCATGTATTCATACCTGCCAATCCCTTGGCCTGCATCTCCTTGGTCATCCACAGCTTTGATTTCAGCAGTAAAGTCTCTGTTGAGCTGTTGTTTCTCTGTCGAGTCTCTTCGCTCTGCTACAGTTCCTTCACAAGGCTCATGGACTTGCTTACTCCTTACAGCTGACGTTGATGTCAGAGTTTCTTCATGTGCCTTTTCTTCTGCAGGTAATAAAGCCGCGAGGGTTGGAGAGGGTAAAGGTGAGATTCTCCGACAGAGTGCCACCGTAAGGTCGTCTCCCTGTGACAACATGCTGCTGGTTGAGCAAGGAGGAGCATCTTTGTTCATGATTTCATATTCCTGTGCAGGATTTATCACCACGAGACGAAGGTTATTCTTGAGTCTCGAGTTTCTTCGGGCAGATTGAGAGATTCTGGAGGCTGTGAGCCGTGACAGAATGTGAAGAAGGAGGAGAAAGTTGTGATTCTGTATGTTTATAGTCGTTTTCAACAAGGCAACTAAACAACTTTACTGCTGGTGACTTACCTCTTTCTGGTGTACCAGGTGACCCAGGCAGGACGTAGCCGTAGTGGTCGACTTCCTCCTCTTCATCCGCCGTCCACACCTTGTATGAGGACGGACTCGAGGCCGTTGAAAGCTTCCTGTGTCGGCTGACGGGCATACGAGGATTGCTCCTCTCTGAGCCGAACCTGGCCCTGTGAAGACTAACAGTCCGTAAACCGTCCTCTGCCTCCCTGCCAGCTCCCCTGACCTCTGACCTCTCGGGCAGCGTCCGGACTGAGCTCAGACGAGACCTCTGGAACCAAAGCTGAGGCAGAAAACCAAAGAGTGATGCAGCAGCTATTAAAAATGAATCCAACCATGACTCATTCTGGAGTGCCTTACTTTCCGCTGGCAGTGCTGGGTCGTAATATTGATTTTAAAACAGCTACTGGCAAAATGTAGTAACAATGCTGACTAAAGAGAAATTCTTCAGAGTTATGGCTAAATATATCTACTTTATCGCCTGTGCAAAGCAAGAATGAACTGGCATTCGTGCTACAAGGTGTGTGTGTGTGCATCTTTGCATGCATGTGAGTGAGAATGTGAGTCTGTCACACCTGGCGAAGGCTGTCTGCAGGACTCGGGGTCATTGGCAGGTATCCAGTTGGTCCGGCCTGAGAGGCGCCACTCTACAAATCAGGAAGGAAAAAATGATTGATTTGGCACTTATGCAGTGACAATGGTCCAAAACCAGTCTATCTATCAAATCCGGGACATATTTTATTACTCTGTATGAATTAATCCGCGATCGAGACAGACTCCATGAAGGGGAGTGCTGAAGAGGAGGTGTAGCCAAACCGTCCTCCAATCCCTCCTCATCGTTGTCTTCTAAATCTGCATCCAGAAGTCCTCGCTCTGACTCTCTCCGATGGATTTCGTCTGGGGCAGCTTCTTCTCCGTCCAGCTACAGAAAAACAGGGAAGAACAGGGTATAAGGGCTGCATATCATCGCTAAAGAACAAACGTGTAAAACGAGCCACCGTGTTGGTCCCACCTTGATGACAAGATATCTAGGTGGGTCTCTTGCCATGCGAGTGAAGTCACTGGCCAGTTCTTTAAAGGTGGGTCTTATGTTTTCATCAATCATCCAGCCTGAACAGAGGAAAGAAAACACTCAATACATACATTTAATTCATTGGCTTCTATTTGTATTGTAACACCTACAGTTTATTGACTTGCAACAAAATCTTTTTATTCTTCTTTATAAAATCTATTAAGTTTAGGTTTAATTTTGTGCATCAAAACCAGTCAAAATTCCTCATGTGAAAACATACATGGGAATACAACTGATTCTGATACCAGGATGCATTTGTGCATAATGTCACATTAGAGTTGATGTTTTGACTAACATTTAACCATGACCATGTAGACATCTATAGTACAGATGTGGGGCTGGGACAGACGCTCGCCCTTCTCCAGCAGACTGGGAACTTCCTGAGGCTGCACAGATGCGTACGGCTCCGCCCCGAATGACATCATCTCCCACACTGTCACCCCTGTCCAGGAAGAAAGATGCTGCATTTAAATGCAATAGTTCATTTACTGGTACACTCAGTAGCTCTGCACACGGCCACAAGCCTCTTACCGTAACTCCAAACATCACTCTGATGACTGTATCTTCGGAACAAGATGCTTTCAAGCGCCATCCATTTTATTGGTGTCTGAATTAGAAGAAAAAAATAGCAGACAGGCTTTAGAGATAGATGAAATACTCTAAGCAAGTTGGGGTAAATCTCAAATTAAATGAGTCACAGACCTTTGTGTCTGTGTAGACGTATTTCTTGTCGTCGGGATAAAGAAGGTCTGCTACACCGTAGTCGGAGATCTGGACCTGGTAGTCGTTTTTCAGCAAGATGTTGCGGGCTGCCAGATTCCTGTGGACCATGCAGTGTTCCTCCAGATAGTACATTCCCTGAGACACAAAACACTCTACATATTCTCTGACAGCTTATTTTTTCATTTGGTTAAATAAATGTACTTCCAGTTGCACTCACCTTAGCAATCTGCACACACCAGTTGAGCAGGCGCTGGGGGTCCAAGCTGTTCTTATGCTGCCTGATGTGCTCCAGTAAGGAGCCCTGTGAGCTGAGCTGGGTCACCAGCTGCAGACTGGCACCTGGACAGATGCCCAGCAGCCTAACAATGTAGGGGTGGTCCAGGCTTCCCATGGACAGCATATGCTGCACAACAAACACAACAATAACACAGATTTATTATATATATTGTGACATTTCTTTTTCCTTCTAACCCTGTTCTACGTGGTGCGTTTTTTTCCACAGACTTACATCTGTGATCTCAGTGAAAGTCTGTCGGCCTGAGCTATCCTGGATGGTTTTAATAGCCACTGGGATCTTCACTGTCTCGCCCTCTGGGGTCCAAAAGCCCTGAAACAAAAATTAAACGTACAACTGCATCAGTTCACATGAGTTTGCGAATCTTGTTGAAGAAAACTACAGTAGCAAGCAATCACTGAATATCAAACAAATGAAGGCAATAAACACCTTGTGCACTGTGCCAAAAACACCCAAGCCAAGCGCTTTGATTTTTTTCAGCTCCGACGGCCTCAGAATACGAGCGTGAACCTTGGTGCCTTTCTCTCCAGGACCCAGTGGCTCAAAGCTCTGCCAAAACATAGAACATTTATTAAAAGGCTGTTTACGGCAGCTCGTATAGTTAGATGATATGTTAAGTCTCACTTCTCCACTCTCCAGGTATCTCCTCATGGCTCTCTTGCGGCGAATGGCCAGGCCTCGGTGGTACAGCACTCCGAGGAAAAACAACACCAGGCAGAAAATCAAGCCAGCTGGGACACCTAAAGCTATGCCCGTGATCTGACCACTGCAGAGGGAAGCAGAGAGAGAGCGGTAACAACGTGGGGATACAAGTTGAAGTCAATGACACTGACTTTGTTATGAGTGTTAAATAAAGTAACAAGGAAAGTCATATGTGCAAGTGCAAGGAGCAGCTGGTACAGCAAAAGGTGAGTTCATTTTATATGTCACTTATTAGCCTCGTTTGTCTCTAAGTGTGGCCCTGTGATGGTCTGGTGACCTGTCCAGGGTGTCCCCTGCCTTTGCTTTAAGTCAGCTGGGATAGACTCCAGCCCCCTGTGACCCTAGTGAGGATTAAGCGGTGTATAGATAATGGATGGATGGACTTATTAGCCTCTTTATCTGGCAGTCAGTACTGCATCCTCAATAGGATGATACAAGTTTTCATTGATCATTTCTTAATAATAATAATTTCTTTGAATTCCCACAAGGCACTGGAAAGTACATCATTTACCAGCAATCAAATGAGATACATGAATGGCAATGTATGTAAGTATAGTAATAGTGAAAATAGTCTGTGTAGTTTTATACTATAAAAAGAAAAAAACAGTTCTTTTACACTTTAAAAGGGGGTGAAAAAAGATGGACAAAAGCAAAAAGGAGAATTTCTTGCTCTTACCCGAGTACCTTTTATATATATATATATATATATTTCTTTTATAAAATGTCTAATCGTAATTATTTGCCTCCAAAGAAAATGACAAATTCCGAATTGCATATTATGAAGATTGCTGTGCTTTGTAGTTACGGTAAAACTATTTAGTCTTAAATTGACAAACTGGGAACACGATTGTGTGTATTAATGTGAGTTGTGTAGTGGCAGGGCAGTGTTTTATGTTCACCAGCAGGGGGAAACACTCACCTACTAACTGCTAGTCTGGCAGTCTGTAAACAGTCATTTAATCCAGGGCCAGAGCATCTGAAACATAAAAACATCCCCCCAATGTTCAGGGCTTCAATAAGCGTGAAGCTTCAACACCTGGAAATGCATATAGTTTGAGTCCGGTCTCACCCCTGCGTGCAGTTGTGGTGACATGGTTCACAGTGACCCTCCCTGTTGGGGTACTTGAAAATCAGCCCCCTCTGTCCGTCATTTACTCCGGTGGGACAAGAAGACATGCAGTAAGGACCGTCTCGAAGGTTGGCACAAGCCACGCACTCATCTGCACCCTGCCAAAGGAAGAGAAAATATACAGGAGAGTCAGTGTGAGATAGATGGACAGTGAACCGACAATGAAACAAGACACAGTGATGGATGCTGGCAGTAAAATTTACAAGCGAACGGGCAAGACGTGGCAGAAAGTCAAATACCTTCACAAAAGAGGGAAGTGTATTGGATGTTGTTGTGAATTGTGCACAGTATGTAAAGTGCTGCAAAAGCAAGGTTAAAGAGAGACAAACATGATTTCTTTGATAATTTATACAGTTGTTATTTAAATTTAATTCAGGGAAAACAACAACTCATGTCTAGATGGTATTGATATTTTTTTTATTAGAGTGAATGCACATAATTAGAAACTCAAGGAAGTTTCTTTTTTCATCTGGATTTAAGCATTTGGACAGTAAGATACAAGTGTTCAGAGACATTTTGAAAGACTATATTTGTAGAGTCATGCCGTTGGCAGGTAAAAGATTTAATTCAAGTGAGAATTCATATGAAGGCATTGGACAATATCATCACTGTATTATCAAAATACGTGCTTACCGGTCCAGTGCAGCTGGTTTTTCCTCTCTGTGGTTTACACTCTGGATGACAGGGGACACACTCGCCTTCAGGACTTGCAAATTCCCGTGGAACTCTGCAATATTCACAACACAATATGCAATGTTTAGAAAGTATAAAAGTCACATTCAATGCACAATTATTAGTCATAAGAGTATAAAGTCAATACTGACCCGGTGTAAAAACGACAGCTGCCCACACATGTGCTATTTCGGCTGTAGTTCCTACAGGAGAGACACTGGTCGGGCCCCGGACCCCAGCAACCGGAGTCTGAACACAGAGGGTCGCACACATGGCCTTCTGCAACTGCACACACAACCATGCAAGGAAAACATCAGGCGTCTGCTGCAGCAAAAACAGCAGCGATGTTTGCATTTAACTCAAATTAATAAAGTGGCAAGATGCAAGACAATGAGGAGGAATTTCTCTTTATGACTAGAATTGTGTAAAGATTGCGTAAATGTAATTGAGTTTTCTGTCAGTCCCCCGGCTCGCCTTACCACACTCTGCCAGCTGTCTGTTGTTGTTGAGGTTGTTGACTCGAACTCTGCGGCCTCTGAACAGCTGCGTCCAGTTGACAGTGTGGTGGTAACAGAGGTTGGCATTCTGACTGATGTAGACGCTGCCATCACTGATTTCGCGGAGAGAGCGCAGACCCAGTGAGGTAAGAGTGGGGATGCGCATCACCATCAGAGAATGACGCCTTTGGTTCGAGGGTTGGAGGATACAGACAAAAACAGCTTTTGAGTTAACTGCAGGAATACTGAAAATAAGGCAGAAATTACTTACATTTTGTAACTCTGGCTTGTATCTGCAGATTCAGTTTTAAGCCTAAAACTAAAACTGCCATCTGGATGTCATTGTCAGGATGAGAGTTTCACACACATGCACACACACAGCAGTTAGTAAGAATCAACATAATGCAGAGGGGGCTTATCATAAAGTGACTGAAGAGTGTGTGTGGAATCACAAAGGGGGAAAGCAACACACTTATCATGTCCTGCAGATAAATATTAGTTTAAGGGACGAATACAGACGTCAGATCCAGCCTGAAGCATACAGCAGCCACCAAATCCTTCCTCTATTCAAGCACAAAAAACAAAATCACACTGACCTTAGTTCTGTTTAAATAGGAAGCTCTTTAACAGACTATATGTAACCAACAGAGTCATTTCCTGTCTATCACCCCATTTTACAAGACACTGCTTAGCTTCTGCTCTGGGCCGGTTCTGACTGATATATATCATCATTTGCAGTCTCACATAACACTGCATGTAATCAAGCCTTACTTGTAGAGCGACCTCCCTTGAATAGTAGTGAGACTTGAAAAAACAGACAGATCATTCAGCTCTTTGGGCCACGACTGGATGTTTAGAATATCTGAGGAGAGAAGAAAGTGATAATAATAATGATAATAATGCTACATGACATTTGGCATATTATACAGCCCTGACAATTTTCAAAAGCCCAGCACACATCCTTAGATCATTAGATGTACGAAAGCTTTTTCTGCATCATTTAGGGGCAGAGGACAGGCTCATATCAAAGCTTTATTAATTTATAACAACTGGATTGCTATGTGACAAGAAAGTCAAGCAGGTTTAATGTTTGCTGAGGCTGTTCTATCTGCTCAAGTCAGATTAAGGATTTGACACGTTGGTATGTTCAAATCAAATCAAATCAAAATAACGCTCACAGAAAAGAGAGGAAGTCCCTCTTAAACCCACTTTGACAAATGATTGAAACTAGTTGCATTTTTTTTTTTACTAAAATGTGCTGAAACCCATAAAACCAAGTAACATCATGATGTTTTGTTACCATCATTATTATATTCCACAGACTTGAGTGTTCATACAAACCTGTTATTTCTCTGACTGTGTGGAACACTTCCAACTTTTTGGCATCCAGGGGCGGGATGTTTTTAAAATCATCTCTATGACGAATTAAAAAAAAACACAATATGAACATGCTCATTATAATACAAGGTGATGTAAAATTCTTCAACTTATAAAGAAAATTACCCAAGAATCCCTGTAACCAGGAAGTGAAGGCTGCCCTGGATCTTGGTGCAGTTGATGAAGCTGTCGATGTTACTGGAGTCCACAGTCTGTCTGTGTTCAGCACCGGTGCCTTCACACACTACAGGGATGACCAGAAAACCTTATTACCTTTGACGAGCGACAAAGAAACGTTGTGTAAAAGTACAGTATGTATTACGTGCGTCAACCTTTTGGGCAGAGTCCACTGCAGAGCTCGCACTGCCTCTGGCCTTCTCTCTCCACCTCCATCTTGTCCAGAGGACAGACGCTCACACAGGAGCTGCCGTCCACCACAAAATGAGCTATGAAGAGAAAGAAAAGAAAAAAAAAAAAAAAGAAGAGAAAGAAAAGAAAAAACATAAGAAGACACGTTTCAGCAAAGACAGAAGAATGACTGGCAGTGTTTCAGAACTAGAACATTACATCAGGACTGATACCACAAAATAGAATTGTAATAAATGCAATGCTTAATAGTTGCACGGGCCTAATGAAAAACTTAAAGTACGTTCTACAGCGCACAAGTAACACAATTAAAATCTGTTGAGTATTCAAACACACAGCACACACAGACCACTCACTGGGGCACTGAGAAACACAGATCGATCCGTACTGGTATTTGGCATTAGGGTTGGTCTCCATCTGAAACGTCTGCTTGTTATAGATCAGAGTCTGAGGACACTGAGGCACGCAGGCGCCGGAGTCGTTGAAATGACGACAAGCCTTCACAGGTACAAACACACAAACAGGAAATTACAGCTGAGCAATTTCTTTACTAAAACACTGACACTACATGAAGTAAAGAAATCATCTTAAAGGAACATTTGCAGTTGATTTCATTGGATGATTAATGTCTGTTTAATCTGACTTCTGACTTCTGCTTTCCAAAATAAAACCAGGCCTAAGATTTTGGCCTCAGGTTCAGCCGTGCTAGAGGCACAGATGACGTCAGCTTCTCAGTCCACCACTTGGATCTGCACTAAAATAGCTCAACAACTATATATGTACAGATTTCCATTAAATCTCTTACAGATTTATGGTCCCCTGAGGTTGAATCCTACAGATTTCAGTGATGCCCTAGTTTCACCAAGAGGTTATAGTTTTGAATGAAATTCTCTCAACATGTATTTAACGAACTAAATAAATCAGTAACTTTAGCACTATGAATTTCAAATAATCTTAGCTTTGCATTGTGTTTAGTGCTAAAAAAGTAAAGCTGAACTGACATCAGCATATCAGCATTTCACTCAAAACCCTGTTGTCCTGAATGCAGCCTCACAGATCCGCTAGCATAGCTGCAGACTCTTAAGCTCAGAAATCTCAGGATTTTTAGGTCTGCTGTCAATTAAGCATCGTATTCACAAGATATATTATTAGAAAATAAAATTCACATGACCACAATGACCTATTACCTAAAAAAGAATAACTTCAATGTGTTGCTGTTTGGCAGCTGGTTCTCAGCAGTGGCCACTTAAATGAGTAATAAAGAATTATGAAAACTGTTTTTATGCACATGTAAATCACTGCACATTCATAATTTGGCAAAAATTAAAGAAAGGCTGTCTGTCCAAAGGGGATATGCACGCCATAGTGACAACAGTAAGATCCTTAAACTCATGGGTAACTATGTATAACCTAAGAATCACATGTGAATTGAAGCATAGAATTGAACTTTTGAAAAAGTATTCACGAAAAAGTAGACAAAGCAATTAGGATTTAAAACTTTTATGTAGTTCATACTGACATAACATAAGCTGACACTTTGTTGTGCAACATCTGCCTTTCTCTTGTTTTTATCAGCAAATTCCTGCAGAGAGGCAAAGACAAAGCACTTACAAAACAGTCCACATCCAGAGGGCCTTTGCATCCCGCTGCACACTCTATGTGACAGCAGTCCCTGGGGCTCGTCCCAAAACAGCGGCCGTTACACTGCGGCGCGCACACCGTCTTAGTCACTGAGACACACAGGAGAGACGGGATGAGATGAGGTCGCCTAAATATACGTGTTGTGTCTCAGTGCATTTCTGTGTGTCTCACAGTGAAGAAGAATCGTGTCAAAAATAGATAACAGAACAATTGGACACTCACAGATCTGACACTGATCCACATTTGGCCCCCAGCAATAATCTCCACAAGATTTGTGACATGGGCCTGTGAGAGAGCAAGAGACAGAGAGACAGGCAGCACTTCTAAGAGAGAGACAATCTAGAGATCATTCGGGAGAAGAAGAATAGGATTATAATGATTAGTGACCTCTCTCTCCGTTGTACTGGATGTCAATAGGAGCACTGTTGTCCCGGATGATGTCTTGCCAGTAAACCCAGGGGCCATAACTCAGGTATTTGTTGTTTATAATTTGCACTCCTCCCTCCAGAATCTCTGTGAAGAAATGGGGGAGACGTGACGCCAAAATCCTTTAGCAGGTGTTAAAGTAACACAGGTGGGACTCATGTAAACTACTTTGTCCTATAATGCTGCCAAAAAAAGTATTAATAACACCAGAAAAGATAATAAATGTCAGCATTTCTCTCAACTCCAGTAACTACAATTTGTAACAGGCTTGGATGGATGGAAGTGCATCTTACACTAGTTTGTCTGACAATGAGCTACAGCTGAGACAGTGATGAATCTTTTCTTTTTTATGTCTTGCTAAGCTCTCCAAAAATGAATAACTGCTGGCTATAAGATCTCTATCTTTATTGTATTTTTAGTTTTGACAAAAGCTTATTTCTAGGAACATCTTTTCTTTGTTGTGCTCTTGGGTTGAATGGTTTTTTCTTTAAATCCCAATCTTTTACATCTTAGCTACAAGCCATTGTTTCCTGTCTCTAAAATCTCTTCTCCCATTAACCTGTCAGATTTGTGAGCCCAAGCTGCCGCAGGCCATTGGAACCATCTTTGGGGTAGTTGAAGAAGACCGAGAGGGCGAAGCGTCTTTCGTACAGGCTGTTTCCTCTGATGACCCGTAGCTGCCTCAGAGGAAGCTCCTGAAAGTGGTTCATAGCAATCAGGACGTAACCGGTCACCTCGCGGATTGTCTGGAGGAAAGAAGATCGTCCATGTGTGAGAAATCTGAGAAATTATTTGATACAAGCAAACCAGCTGACAGACAGAGGATCGAAGAAGTGTGATGTTCACCTTGAGGAAGGAGAAATCCCAGTTGCTCTCAATCTGAGTGATCTCCAGGTTGCCCATGATGATCTCACAGCCGTCATATCGATCCTTGATCAGGTTGTACTGATTCTCCTGAGAGCCGGTGGAGCTCAGGCCATTCTGCGTACCGTGACACACTTCTGGCACATACACAGAAGAGGGACAGGTTCACATTTTTTTCAAGTCTCTCAACTGAAAGGGATATCAGTCATTGTATTACTTCTTTATCCTGCCCATACTAGCCACGAAAAAATCTCCTAAAGCAGACAAAATCCACAATCCTCATTCAGTGTACATGTGATTTATAACATCCAGCTGAAACCAAAAAGGAGTTTTCGACAGTTTGAGTTCATCGAATTGAGTTACAGTCAATAACATTCTTCTAAGAGCATGCTAATTTCTTTCAGAAATGAATGGAAAACAATCAAATTCATATGAAAATGAAAAAAAAAAAAAACACTACTACGGTCTTTTAAACCCGAACAAATGGTGAATGTGAGTTGCTGTGGGTTGCATTAGTTCTGTGGTATTTATGGGTTTGGTGAGTGTCCCCGATGCTGTGTTGACTGCAGAGTTTGATGTGAAGCAGAGCGAAACAGGCAGCCTGTAACCTCGGTACACGGAGCGGTCCAGGCCCGGGGCTGATGGAGTGGAGGCCGAGGGTCGAGGCAGAAGGGTTTTTCTGGGACAAAGTGCCTCATTGTGATAAAGCTATAAATGTGGACAGTGTGTCCCAGTGAGTGAAGAGTGATGCATTGACAGACAGTGCTTCTGTGTGTGTGCATGTGTGTCTGCAGGGTGCTGAGATCATACCAAGAGACAATGGACCGTGTGTGAGTAGGACATTCTGGCAGCGGGAAGGGAAATATTGTGAACGGAAGGAGACATACACACCATCTCGTAGTGACCGACAAATATTGTGGCACTGTGCAAAGACTGGGCACCTGCAGCCGTCAGCGCAAGTCACGTTCCCGGTCTTCATTATGAACGTGCAGGTATAAACAGGAATCTTCCAGCTACAGTGAAGCCGATTACCTCCATAAACAACCTTCGAGGGTCATTGCATGCGTGTTTATGATTAATAATGGAGAGTTTTATGTTGACTCATGCAATTATATATTCATTCATAATTCTCTCGTGTTAACATCGACCCTGAATCAAAGTTGAACCGTGGATGAGCTGCATAATATTTCTGAATATTAGAACAAATTAAATGAACACACACAAAACACCCTTTGCAAATTTAAAATAACTTTTAAAAACAGTATATAAATGAGTACCCTTATTTACCACACACAAGCACTACAAAAACTTCAATATACTGCTAACCAAGTGGAAGTTGGTGACTTAATAAATAGTGACAGTTGGAATAATACAAAAAAATGTCGTCACAAGAAGTTATGCTGTTCAACAATTTCCCTGAGGTTCTACCAAAGGGATCAATAAAGTTCTATCTATCTATCTATCTATCTATGTACATGAATGTCCCTGTAACTGCTGATAAACACAATTAAATATACTGTAAACCATTTATCAACAGCTTTAAACATTTATTAGGGACGCTTAAAGTAAAGTGTTACTGTCCTTTGTAGCTTTTTACAGCCGCCATGCAATTTAGTCTCTAACATGAATGATATTCACATATTCAGTTTATCATGTGAGGATGTGTCGGGTCTGCATAGTAACAGAACAAGCAAGGTGTGTGATCTGATACAAACACAAGCAGGATGAAGGTCATCAGTTCACAGCTGTCTCTAAATGTATTAATGTTAACTGCTCTATTCCACAAAATGTGACTCCATGACATGTTATGCAGAATATGCTGGATAGACTGCTAAACAGGTGAACCCCAACAGCTGCAGGACTAACCAAGACCAGGTTTCTAACACAGAATGATAAATCCACCTACCTTCATGCGTCTGGGTTTTTGCTGTTTCTATCCTCCACAGTAAAGTCACACACAGTAACAGGACTCTCCACGGGTGCATATTGATGTTGATCCTGTTCACCCAGATATCAGAACATCACAGGGGGTTTGGAAAGTCCAGTGTTGTGTAGAAAAAGAAATCAGCAAAGGATGTAGTGGATCCAAAAATGAGCAGAAGTCTCACTCTTTAAAATGAAAGAGAAAACACAATCCAATACCAAGGACACATGAAACTCCTTGTTCAAAACATTACTGATAAAAGCAGATTAATCGCGCGAATCAATTGCTAAAGGGAAACAAGTTGTAGTTTATGTCGACTCGGGGATTTCCCTCCCAGAGAAAGACGTCTGATTGGCCAGCAGCCCGACTTATTCACCAATCAGAGGCTGGTCCGTCATTTTTTTTTCTTTTTTCTTTTTTTCTTTAGCTACTGCCTCAGTCGTTGCACTGAGTTGCAGAGAAATTTACTAGATTTCTGTGAAGTATTTAAAAATAGATAAAGAGTGGATACATTGTATTTAATAGCAACACTGATAGAACGCTTAAAATATTGCAGACGCACGTGTGCAGCACATTGCATGCAGAAGATAAAGATGAACAACATCCTCTAACACAGCAAACTGTTGCTTGTGCGGGGAATCTTTTGCACCTTGTTTGTGTCTTTATGTGCAGTTATTTTGGTTTTCATGCTGACAGCCTCTGTATGTGCTGTGGTCTCCCACTCAGCACCCACAGCTCTGAGTGGCTGCACTGTTTCACCCTGTAAAGAGCAGTATTGTCCCCACAGCCCTGTCAACTGGTTAATCACCTCTTTGATGCGTATGGAGCAGCCTGTCACAATGGGGCGCATTGTCAGATAGGCAAGTGACTTCTGAACCCAAAACAAGAACATGCTTAATTTGAGAAAATGGCCTCAGAGCGGACAAGATTCCTGAACATGAATGAAATGAAAACTGGACGCTAATGGATGGATATCAGTGACAGATGCACTGTTAATCTTTTTTTTTTTTGAGTGAGAGACAGCTGGTCAGTTTCTTTGAGAATATTCCTGTGGGCGAAATGTGAATGACTCAGATCATAGACATTTAATTCTAACCTTAATCTCTTAATCAACCTGATAATAAAATCCACCAATAAGGAATAAGCTGTGTTTTGTTTTGTTGTTTTACAGTAACTTGGTTCAGTGCACATTATTTCATTCAGTGTGCATCGGTTTGAAGTCATAACTGCCCTCCCTCAGCAGTTCTCCGTCCAGCAGGAGGAGACAGAGTATGGGAATTGGTGATTTGATATCAAAGCTGCTGCAGGGACTGTGGAAGCTGGACTCAGTCAGTGTTTGCACAAGAGCTGCTATTTTTGCTTCATTTATTGGAGGTTTTGTACAATTTCTAATCTCCTCTAATAAAATTATCAGCAGCTATTAATCCTTTTACACACACACACAGAACATCACTGCTTAACAATCTAGAGGTCATTTTCACTCAAAAACTGAGTCACCCTTGTTCTTGCATTAACAGCAGTCAGTGTGAAACTTTCTCTTCCGCTCATAGTGAAAAAACGGAGACAGTGTGAAATGTAAACTATCACTGCAGCAGAACCAAACAAATACATTTTTGGTGATTATTTTTCCACATTCTCACGAGGTTTTCTCTGTGGTCTGGTCAAGAACAGTGGCTTTGATTAAGGTCTGATGATCCCAGGGTTTCTGCAGAGTTTGGCACTTTCACAGCGCCACCATGGTGTCAGCCTCAGTGTCAGCCCTGGTGGCCCTGTCCCTTCCAAGGCGAACTGTGAGGGGTGCCTGCTGTGGCCTTTTGCGGTTGCCACTCCCTTCAGAGATTGATGAATTGATTGTGGGGCTGCTGCCAGTGTGTCTGTGCCCTGGGCGAAGGTGTCCCGGTTACGGGTGGGAATCCCAGCTATGGCATCCGCCCTGGGGCTACTATTGTAGCCGTCCTGCAGGGGGCCCTGGGGGCTGGTGGCCCTGGGAGCAGCTCTGACTCACATACTGCTGTCACACCCTTGGAGACACAGCGGCACTCTCCCCTACATGGACCTCTGATTGGCTCAGACAAAATGACTCTCTGTGGAGTGCAGCAATTCCACCTGATTGTGCCAAACTTCTCTTGATGACAGCAGTTAGGAAAGGACAAAGGAGAGAGGCGATGTAGATCCGTGTCCTTCCCACCTATTTGACCTGTTCTTTCCCTGCCTGTGCCCATTACTGCATTTTCAATTTAAAAAAAGCTTGTAATATGTGCTGTTTATTTATCTGGCTTTATTCTTAGCTGGCAGCTGGTAGAGCAAACAGCTTGTTGAGTTAAAATGAATCATCAAGCCAGAATTTTGACCAAGATTTAAATCCCATTTTACGAAAAAATAAAAAATTCAAGTTACTTCACTGGGATGTCTGACCTTGCAGGGTTTGGGGACATCTGGGCTGTTTCACATTTATCTGCTGCGAAAGTTTCTGTGTTCACCTTAAATCTGGGTTCAACACTTGTACTCACAAAGACTATTGTGACATCAGAAACAGTTTGGAAGCCAACTGTGGCCTGATATGCAACTTACACAAGTTCAATGTGGAACCTGAAACCTCCAGTGCACATAGAAAAATAACTTTTCAGTTAAGCGACAGACATCTTGTTAGACTTTTACATTTTTTACATATTTATAGATTACCGATATATCATTGAGGGAGGAGCAGAGCTAGCGGGGGATCCTAAAATTGTGTGGGGAAAGGCTGAGATCAAACCAAACAAGCATATAAAAAAAGCGACAAAGCGTGCAGCAGAAAATGACATCAAGGAAAAAATGAGTAAGGCAAAGCAAATGTATGTTTTGGTCTCTTTTATTGATTGATATGGTGCCAGGAATTATTAAATCATTCGACACTTTTGCACCTATTAGTGTTGTTTTTCATTTCCTTCTCTTAATAATACTCTACTTGTATATTTAAATAAATTCATTTTCAGTTTATTCCCTTTCTACAAACACATCATCAGTTGGAATGTTGCGCAGCCTCGTTCGTCCGCGTTTGCAAGTTAAATTTCCGCCAATAAGGGGAACGTTTAGCCACAACAGCAGTGTGTTACAGATTGTTGGTGAAGATGCTTGAATGACATTCCTACATACAAACGTGTTATCAAAGAGAAATGAACCACTGGCAAAATAAGGCCACAAAAACAATTTTCACACCAACAGAATAGAGGGCACATCACACACACACACACCCACACAAACACACAAGCTGCTGTCAGTTATCTGCCAACACACTGACCCCAATATCTACAGGTGTATCAACAGCACTTTTAATTTAACCGCGATTACCAGGGTATACTTTTCTTGTTACATAAACATATATACAGTTGCGCCGACATAAAAAAAGCATGCTTTTGCATATTAGAAGGTTGTTCGGTAAACTTTACACGAAATCCATAACATGTATTAGTACAGCATTGTTCCAACCAGCAGCGGTGATTTCGACTAACAAATATAGTCTGAGGAAACAGGCTATTATAATTCACTTTTATTACAGATCTTGTACATTATTAACATGCCTTATGATGCAGTATTACGATCACCCTCTCTCCTGTTTTGCAAGTGTTTTGTGTGAAAACTGAAAAAAGACAACTGCCGGATCTACTTTGCAAATTAAGAAGAAGAAAAAAACAACCCAACACCAAAATCCCCCCCAAAAAATAAATAAACACTCCATTCAAAAGCACAAGAAGAAAAAAAAAATGGACGTTACATTTTGTACAACAATAATGCATCTAGAGTTATTTTGTGCAACATGATACACACAGATTTGGTTAACACAAGATACACACATAATGTCACGCCAGTTAGGGATGATCAAATCAAGATGACAAGCAATGTGAGTTCTTATGATGGATACGGTGCAGCTGCTCGCACAAACCGATTTAAAAAATAAACATTCAGAACCATGTAAGCTCTCTAATATTGCCAATCACATGCTGTGCTGCATCACTCTCCACAGGGCAGGCCAATAGCAGCAATTTTTTTTTTTCTTCTTCTAAGCCACAGAGCTGGTACAGTGCGCCTGTTCTGTCATCTGTATCAGTTTAGATATCACACCTCGCTGATGCCAGAGAAATTGTTTTAACCCTTATTGAGCCAGGCGAGTCGACTAAGAACAAATCTTTATTTACAGCAGCGGCCTGCGGTAAGTTCACAGCTCTTACAAGCCCACGAGCCAGTACTGGGATATCTCCATGCAGATTGGGAAGCAGTAATGTACAATGATACTGGGGCTTTCTTCTTCATCTTTTTTCTTTTCTTTTTTTTTTCCACCAGCTGCCTTTGCAGTAAATGCACAATGCAATAAAGGGAGAGAAACCATATGATGCACTCGGAAAATGAAATCAATAAATAAAGCTATTATTAAATAAATAAATAAATAAATAAATAAATGTTGACAAAAACATTGTTTGTTTAAGACTATCCAGTGTGTCAGCAGAATTTGTGTCAAATAAAAAAAAAAAAACTTAAATAAACACATTTAAATAAAATCTGAACAAACTGAAGATTTTAATAAATAAAAATCGAGCTCTGAACAGGATTACCTGGTGGCGGTAAAAACTTCTGTATGGACGATAAATTACGAAGTTACATTTATCTGAGTATACTGTTTTTAAACAATGTGATAGTATTCTGACATAGTAATAGTACTGCCACTATACTATTATGACATTCTTTATAATTTACACCGAGTTTATAGTATCTGAGGGAAGGCTGCTCTGCCGTCAAAAGACGTTTTCTGAACAAACTGAATGTTCACGGAGGTCAAAGGTCATAGACTGCAAAGTAGGGGAAATCCACATAGTTTTACAGTAACATTATACTATTATATCCCAATATTTATGTATTCAGTTTATAGAATGAAAATCGTTTAGGTTAACTTTGACACCATTGGTTTGTAAATGATTTAAAATGCTCACCACAGACCCAAACAAACTAAATAAAAAATAAAATAAAATAGAAGTATTGGGTGGGTGGGGGGAGAAAGCCAGTGAGAGTCATCCCCTGGGAGCTTTTCAGCATTTCCTCTCTATGTAAACACAATGGATCCACTATAACCACTACCTGGAGCTGGCACCCAGGCTCTTCCCCACTCTCCTGACTGGGCCCTTCACTTCTTGTTCTTCAGTTGATTGGCCAGCCAGTCCAGGCCCTCGTAGAGGCCGTCTCCACTGGTGGCGCAGGTGGCCTGAATGTACCAGTTGCGGTGACGTAAGGAGTGCAGGCCCAGCTTGTCTGTGATCTCTGCAGCATTCATGGCATTGGGCAGGTCCTGAACAAAAGCACAGAATTACAGTCAGAAGGACCTAGTTGGTGAGGAGGCAGATGGAAACGGACAGGAAACAAAAGGGAATACACAAGAGCAGATGCAAGGAAGTCGATACCTGTTTGTTAGCGAAGACGAGGAGAACGGCATCCCGCAGCTCGTCCTCAGCCAGCATCCTCATCAGCTCCTCCCGAGCTTCGTTGACCCGCTCGCGGTCATTGCTGTCCACCACAAAGATCAAGCCTGCAGGAGAAGTGAGAGCACGAATTCAGCGACACTTTGTACAGGTTGAATATCAGCTCTGCTGTGCCACAATGAGTTTCATCCAAATGTATTTCAACATCACATTGCTAAACAGAAAAACAGACCGTTAAACCACATTTTATCATTGTCCAGGCTTTCAACATGACTAAGACGATGATAATTTGGAACAGTTGGAGCCCGTATGCAAATGATTTCATCTAAAGCATTAGTCAGATATGCCCTCAGGTGCTGGGGGGTGAGCGTGTGCTGCAGGATCTGCAACAGCACTGGAGAGGCTTTAATAACTCTAAAACATGACCAACTGGTGCATCATCTAGGAGTCTGTTGGTCTGGCTCACCCTGGGTGTTCTGGAAGTAGTGTCTCCAAAGGGGACGGATCTTGTCCTGGCCACCCACGTCCCACACAGTGAAGCTGATGTTCTTGTATTCCACCGTCTCTACGTTGAAACCTTAATAAAAACAGAAGGATTTACATGAGCTGGACAAACTCCGACACACATGTTTGATCTAATACTAACAGACGTTAATTCTGTCCCTACAGACCGATTGTGGGGATGGTGGTGACAATCTCCCCCAGCTTCAGCTTGTAGAGGATGGTGGTTTTCCCAGCAGCGTCCAGCCCCACCATAAGAATCCTCATCTCCTTCTTGCCTATGAGGCTCTTCAGCAGGTTCCCGAAGATGTTTCCCATGATGACGGGCAGCTCTCACTTCAACTGCAACAAAACTGTCACACAGAGGGAACTCAGAAGACCGCTTTCTATACATAGAAACAAACACACCGCGTTGAGAAAGTCAAAACCACACAAAAAATAATAACGCAGCGGGACAGTAGCTCTTCCAAAGCAACTCTTTACATTACCACCTCATTACGGTTTGAAGCCACCTCAGAGGAAAGCCTGTAAAAGCGCACTTCACACCTCGGCAGGCAGCTGACCTGACTTAAAAGGCTGTTGCTTTGCACTGTGACAGCTCACTGGGAAAAACGGCCGCCATGCTGGATCTCTGTTGTGGGGATCAGCTTTCATGTGGTGCAGATTGCCCACCTTTTATGCTGTTTGCTGAAGAAATGCCAACAATCAATTCATGCTACAAAACAGCACATAACCTCAGGCTGTGTGTTTGTGTGGTTCACACAGAATTCAGCACTGGGAGAGGTTTTAGATTATACTTTTCTACAATGCCATGGGCCCTTTAACAGGGTGCTGTCAACTTGTGCTAATTCTACCTGAGGTGCATTTGGTGTTAACAGGGGTGTTAAAATGAGCAAAAAAAAGCTCCCATAGGCTTTAAGTATGGCAGTGGAGCATCATCATTTTCTCTGGAGTACGTCCAGTGTTTGTAGTTTGCTGTCATTGATTAGCTCCATTCATTTCAAGCAAATAGCTGCTAGCATAGCCCGTTACAGCTGCAGTGGTCGCACATCCATGTACATTTGTCATAATGCGAGGGGAAGACGGCTGATGCTGCTGCAGTCAAAGCAGCCGATGAATTCCAACCCGAATTACGTTTCTTGTAGCTCGACGCGATGATAACTCGAGCGCAGTGTGTTAGCTTTTATATTAGCTAATATGTTGGTTATTTCTAACCAAAAAATAAATGAAAATCTCCGGGTCAATTTGTGTGCTATAATCCCCTCGTACAGTCACGACAAAACGCACCAGTCGGCCTGATGTCGTCGATTAACGGCAGCTCATTTAACCGAGAAAGCGCTTTGAGGCGTCAAAACGGCGACTAATACAACCGCGGTCACCTTTAATTCTCGCGTACATCTTCGAGTATTTTCACCATTTGCATCTCATTCACACTTACCCGTCAGCGGCAGGCAGGACACCAGCTGGATTCAGGCAGAGGACTGGATGCTAGTCTCGCGATGAGCTGCGGCTGTGACACTGCGTGTTCTCGCGATGTTTGGGTTTGCCATGAACACCTCTCACAGTTTGTCATTCCCGATGACTTGTTAAAAGCCGGGGAGCGCTGCTGGAGGGCAGCTGAGTCTGAACTGTCTCCTTACAAAGCACGAAAATTACTTGTAGGTAATATAAGCATCAAGCTTTTTAAAAGATTATTTTTGCTTTTGTGATATCAAATGCAAGAGTCCATCTTTTTAATTACATGACTATCCTTATTGGCAAATGGTTCATTTTGTGTTGTCACAGGAGCTCAAGAAGTAAACCAATATTAAATGTAACAGAGTCTGAAGGCAAACATTCTTGAATAATTAACACAGGAATCATCTTGATGAATAAGTAAATGGCTGACTGTAATAGGATGCCAAGTGATACTTCCTGGCAGCAGGCCTCACAGTGTCACAGATAATGAGGTGACAGGGGGCAACAAAGCATAGACCCAATCAATATTCTAGCAGGTTTAACCTTGACTACTGATTTTTTTTAACAATATTTAGTTTTTCTAAAGCTGATGTTGTATACCGACGTGGTTTTCACATGATAATTAGGATGAAATATATTTTTTTCCCACACCCCAGCGTGATTAAACGACACACCCCTAAACCAGCCCTGCAGCCATATAGGTGAATCCCATATTCGCCTCGTTCTTCCTCTCTGTTGCGTGTCAAGTCAGCGGTCCAGTAATAGACGTGTTTATCAATTCAGTGGTGAAGGCAGGGGAATAAAGAGTGGAGCAGATGTTTGCAGCTGCAGACCAGATTATGGGGTGGAGTGGATGGTGGGGGAGCACGGCGAGTTTGTGTGCGCGGGGAGTTCGGAGAGAGGGTTACAGGGGGGTTACAGCGGGTTCGGGTGGTGGCAGGAGAGGTAGGGTGGGGAGTTATGACTTAAAGGAGCCTTTCCTCTGAAGTGTCTGCCAGCGTGCACCCCAGCAAACACAATCACAAGTCTCGTTGGTTCTGCTAGCTGAACTAATGAGGGCCTGCACGTTGAGGGCAGGGGCTTTGATGTTCTGGGTAGCTGGCTCCTTGTGTTTTCTCTCCCGCTCTCCTTCTCTGCCTGTCCCACATCAAAAATGAAAGGGGAGTTGAGAAGCAGATGTTTTGAGGCATGTATTTATACAGAGTACACTTTATTCACCCCCTTCTCCATACCCCATTTGTCCCCTTTGCCTCTGCATCTCTGCTGTATGTTGAGCAAGGATCTATCTCCCTATCTTTATATCCAACTAAACACACTAAATCGCCTTACTTTATACATATAATCATGTTGTCAATCAAAGTGGGTAACTTTTATCTCTCCTAACTTCCTCTCTCTGCCTGCCTCTCTTTAATTTCAGCCCAGTCTGGATGTCATTACTCGGGGGGCAGTCAATGTGTTGCTATGCATGTGTCTCTGTCTGCAACGATGAGGGGGAGAATGGGAAAGAGAGAAAAAGAGCGATGAGAGAGAGAGAGAAAGCAATCCCAGGCTGTCCACCAACCTCTGTCTCACACATGGGAGAAACAGTGACAGGAAATTCCCTTTTGCAGCAGCTCCAGGGTAAAATGATAAAGGAATGAAGAAATGCAAACCAGAAATTCAGTCCCTTATCATTCCATACCGCTCGCTGTCTCCCCTTTACTCCTTCGCTAAATACCAAAAACACAGAAAAGTCAATTCAGCCACTGGCACTGCCATTCCTCGGGAGTCAAGGGATATTTACCAAAGTCCATACAAACAAGACTTAATTGGCATTAAATCCTATGTGGCAGAAGAGGTTTTCCCAGCAGGCCGAGCATGGAGACAGTTTGGATTATCTAAGATATCTAGGAATGCTACTGTCATAAATCAAGTCAAGTGGTGACAACAGCATTTTGCTAAATCTACAGTTCATGTGTGCGCACCAGCATGCATGTTTTTGATTGTGCATCAGTGCCAGGATTTCTACATGTAAGAGCCTTTGTACATAAACACATGCGTGTATTTATGTGCGCGTGTTTATGTTTGTGTAGTCTGTCTCCCAGGTAACAGGGATACAGCGTCCCAGCAGCACGTGGTTCAGTAAGTCCCTTCCTTGGCTATGAACTCTGGACAGATGATCCCCTCAGATGCTCACACAGCAAAGACTGGTATAATCACCCCCACTCTCTGCTCTCTTGATGCTGCTCTCCAGTAATAAAAGTCATACTTTAAGGAAACAATATCCTGCAGCCATAAAAAGTCCTTCTCTCAGCATGGAGTGGCCATAAAAAAGGCTCTCACCTCCCAAATCTGTAGTGCACAGAGCTTACCCCCCATTTACACAGCAACAGACACACACACAGACACTCACGCATACACACACACCCCTCAGCATCATTTCAAGACTAAAGTAGGTCCATCTCTCACTTTGACATGTACTACATGTGGGAAGAATCTAAGGAGTGCTGATGAAATGGACAAAAGCAAGCACATAATATCAAGAACTCAGTCACGATTTCATAGGAAAGTGACACACATCACATTACAGTTATACCAAGAGGAAGCATATTTCTGTCATAATATTGATATGGAAAAACATGAGCACTAGCAACCATTCCCATGAAGTAATTACTACCGTTACAGTTTCATAAATAAATTTGAACGATTAGTTGAATTTGTTTTCAAAACTGATCTTGTGTCATTGTTCCCATCTTGACTTTTACAAGTGTACAAGAATTGATAAGTTTAAAATGTCCTGCATGTGCCTTCTGTCTTGTCTCTGCAAATACGCTCTCTATCAAATTCTCTTTCTTGTATTCTCCTATTAGTAAAATCCTTGTCTAGAAGAATACTGAGATCGATTCCTAAATACCTATTGTTGCTCTGTCTGAGTCACAGGTGCAAAATATACAAATTGAGTAAGTATCATTAGAGGAGCCCAGTAATATAGAGAAATTGCAATGAGACGTTGTTGTCTAAAGACAACTGTGTTCACCATCCTGAGCCACTTGGTCACCATCAGGCTGTTATTCAAAAAAAAAAAAAGACAAGCTCTAATACAATAATAATATTAATAATAACACATTTACAAATATACACGTACACATTAAAATACACTGCTACTGTACAATAAGATAAGTCAGCATGTCGACATTGACATGAAACAGAAATGTTTCCCTGTTGTTGCTCCTCTTTTTTGTGGGATAGAAAAGATGGGGTATAGGCCGTTTTCATGGCTGAGAGGGCAGCGTCTAAACAGACCATGGCAAGACAAATGGCATGAGTCACCTCTTCAATCTCTGACTTGGCATTTTGAGAATAACAGCGGCTACAAAGAGAAAATAGATCCCAGATGATGGACCAAAAAAAGGAAAGGGGCGGATAAACAGATTCTCTGGAAGAGTTACACAAGGAGCAAAACAAAAGCTTGAACAACAGGAGTGGGCGAAGGGACAGGCTCGCCATCTTGAGTCCTGGATGAGTAAAAGCAACAAGAGCTGGGATGGTTGGTGTCTACTTGCACACATTGACCCACTCTGTGAGACGACACTCCTCGCACAGCACGTAGCAACACCAGTGAAATCGGCAATTGCAGCGCTCGCTGCGTGTCTGTTTCAGGATGTTGTGCCCACGGCCACAGCACAGTGAGCTGCAGCTGTCTGTGCTGTAGCTAGTTTTGTTGCAGATGCGTCCTTGTGTACCTGGGGAGTCAATGGACGCATCGTGCTCACAGAAGTCAGGAGACTTCTCAAAGTACACCAACTCTCTGGACATGCTTCGACGACGCCCTCCGTTGATTCCCCTTGTGCTTCCACTGGCACTGTTCTCTGCTCGAGGGTTGAAAACCCCATTGTTCTTGTTCTGGGAGTTGACAAAGATGGCTGACAGAAACTTCTCCTTGAGTAAAGAACCCACAAGCCGGAACTCTGGAGACACATGCCAGCAGGTTTTAAACTGACAGCTCCCTGATGTGCCATGACATTTACACTTCCGAGTCATGTTGTCAGTCACTATCTGTGTGAAGAAAGATAAATAAGTGAGCAAATCAAACTGCAACATGACCATGATGATACGTGAGCATGGCTAAGAAACACAGTGGACAAGCATATTATTCACCTGTCGCCCCACTCGGTTGTTGTGTATCCTCATGCGAGCATGAATATCTCTTGGAGACCCGCGGGAATCAAGCCAGTCTCTGGAGAAACGGTCCCCAAAACGGACATCGTGACTGCACCCCCCCCACTCCCAGGTGTCCTGCATAGAGCTTAGCTCATCTGGTAAAGGCTTGAGCAGGGCGGAGGGATGAGTAGAGCGCAGGTTAGTGGGCAGGTTGCTATGGTGACCATTTAGCTCCGAGGGCAATGACCGCGTTATGTCCATGCCTACCCCACCCTTCTGCAGGGTCTGCAGCTGCAGCTGTGTGAGTTTGAGCCGGATCTTGTCATCGTCCTGGCGACGCTTGGCCTCACAGCCACACCCCCGCAACTTGCCCATGCTGCAAGCCGAGGCCACAGAGTGAGCCACACCCGCTGCCAACATTGCCAAGGAGAAGGCACTCTCGCGAAAACCTGGGGGCAGGAGGAACACACTCAGACAGCTGAAACTGATAAACATTGCAGCTCCAAAAATGTAATCCACCTGTGTATAGAAAGATCTCTATTCTCATAGCTACACCTGTGTCCCATAAACCCCAGGCCACTTATAGTGACTACCATTGGCTTGCCTCAGACTCTCACCCCTGTTGAGGATGGTATTGTGGTGGGGCAACTTGCCAAGGCCCTCCAGTGAGGAACAGTTCCAGCGCTGGTCCCGGAGTTGGTGCTGGCATTCGTGGATGGCCACCTGTATGCCCTGCAGAGCAGAAGCTGTCACATCGGGGTTCCGCACACACATCCGCATCTGACGTTTACTGAGGCCTGCCAGCCTCAGGCACACAGAGTTCGGGGTTAGCACTGGATCTCCTGCCACCTTCAGGCTGAGGATATCATTACACAGCACCCTGCAGGGAGAGCGAGGGAAAGAGGGAGAGAGAGTTGGTGGGGGGTGTCATCACAACTGGTCAGGAGTTCATTAGTCAAATCCAGAGAAGTATGTAAGAGTGGGAGGATGTCTGGAATACTTTGGAAAACCAGTAAAGATTTAAGGGCATTCTGTAAAATTATTATCTTTTATACAGGACTTTCTAAATACACTTAGCAATAAAATGTACTTAAAAGTATTTGTTGCAGTGTCTCTACAGCTCTAATGGTAGTTGCTTAAAGCAGGGAAAATATAATTCCAAACAGATTATCCAGCTAAGGATCAAAAACAGATCCAACTGCCAAATGTATCTTATGGAGAAATAACAACAGATTCAAACTGAATTCTTCATGGCTTACTTTAGACTTGTGAAAGACTAACAAATCAGTAAACACTGATTTCAGGGTTTTAATATTACAGTAAATCAGCCTGTGAAATCAGAGGCAGATGTCTCAGTTTTCAGCTAAATATGTAAGATATTCATTTAAATGATAAACTAACTATACACAATAACTTCTCTCAACTCTTGCCGAATAACATTTAGCCACAAACCCGCATACAACATCAAGTCTCCTGGCGCTCTCAAGTGCACTTACGGTAATGCAGGTGACATAAGTGCTGCTGCCAAAATCAGGAATTGGTCCCAACGGAGTTTGTTTGATAGCTCCATTTTGTTAAGCGTCTGTCGCGCCGTGACATTAAAACACTGGTGTTAAGGTCCTGTGTTGAATAAGAACATCAAAAGGAAGAAGAGTGCAGTATTATCGATGCACCGCCAAACGACCGAGGAGTGAAGACGGAGAACAGAGGAGCTCGGGGGCGAGAGTAAACGGGAGGGGGGAGAGAAAGAGGGGAGGGGAGTAGATGCCTCTACAGGCGGCTGTTTGCAAATATTGGCCAATATGAAAGTTGGATCACCAGTTGATCATTTTATTATCTGAGAATGTGATCATTTGTCCAAGCGTAAAATAACGTCTCCAAACTTTTACGCACAAGCTTTTTTTCCCCAAACACTGCGGCACAACGCCCTCACATTTAATAGATAATATAGATGATCTAAAATACTGCATTCTATAAATATATTTAATAGGATAAAATATGTGTATGCATTAATGATGTGTGTTTGTGGGTCGGTAGATGAGTGAACAGACTTCAATTGTCGATGCAACGAACAAAAAAAAGGCTCTGCAAAGTGAAATATGGACAGTCAAAGAAGATTTTGTTCATAAAGGGGTGAGTTATTTTAAATAATGAATGGGGGAGGGGAGAGCTGCTGGTTCCACTGTACGACAGGGAGGCAGCAGCAGGCAGGCGGCTCCACTAACAGACCCTCCAACAATACTGTTTTTAGTCATGTGGTCCCCCTTCCTCCCACCTCCATCAGAGCGGCTGTTCTTCATTGTTGTGTTTGAAACAACTTCACTTTATCAATGTAAAGTCTTTATTTCAAACTATAAAATTGGATGCATAAATTAAGAGTGTGGCTGCTCTGATTTTGGTGATCACATAATGGCATCATTATGGCTCTGATAGCAATATCATGACAAATGATAATTACATTAATCTGGGTAACTTAAAAAAAAGAAATATTTCCATACTATAGACCTGCATCTTAGATAGCCTTTCAAATTAGATGTTTTATGGTCAGTAATAACTGTGCTCATGGAAGAAGCTGGACAGGAATCCTGTGTGAACTCTGCATTGAATCAATCAGTATATTGATCTTGGTTATCCAAATTACGCATAACAAACGCGCAAACGTCCCTGCTGGAACCGAAAGGTGCATATGTGCTACTTTCATAAAATTAAGTTAAAACCCCCCTCGAACACGGTTCGCTTAGTGACACCAATTCATCTAATCTCCTTCCATTCCCTAAGCTGCAGCAATGAAAAGTGCATTAGCATTCTGCCTTGGTGTGTATATCTAAGTGGCTTAAAAAGTGATTTGAAGTTGATTTGTATATAAAAGGCCCCCTTTATCCGGATTGAAGCTCTAATCTGCTCGGTGTCGCATGACTGCTCCAGGAAACCCGTTTGAGCACCTTCATATAAGACTGGAGTATAAACGTAGGATGGCTGTCATTAAAGCTTTTTACAAAAGCCCACTTCCTTTTACTGTCATCTGCGGGACAGAGAGAGAGGTGAAGAGGAAGGGAGAGAGATTATTCAACCTACAACCGCTGCAGTTGACTAATGTGGAACATGCAAATTAGCAGATAAATGTCACATAATGAAACATTCGCCCATGAACCAATATCTGGAGAAGTTTGGGGACATTTAAGCTGAAGAAGTCTGGGGTTTGATGGAGATGCCGCAAAGTGGCTCAAGCTGTGATTACACTGGGCTGCGTTGCGTCGAGGGAGGTCTGCAAGCCAGATGTTTGGACTGGTTTTTTATCCTTACTCGTCCCCCTCTTTTCCTGGTTCATCATACATCAAACTTCTGATTGGAGACTATATTTCATCTCCGCCGCGTTTGAAAAATATTTAAGTAGCTCAGCAGGCAGTGTGAGTTATAGGACCACTAAGAGCTTATTATTATTGCTTCTATCTGCATTCACGTTTCACTGTGCGTGTCTTAGACTATAAAAAAAAAAAAAAACTGTGATAATTGTTATTTGCGCCACAGCTTTTTATTAAGAGACCCTCATAAAGGCACTTTGGAAAAATATTATTAACCAGATTTAATAACGTCAAAAAAAAAAGAAAAAAGAAAAAAAAGTGTGTATCCTTGTAAATGTTTTACCGTAAAAAGGAAATGTAGGCTGCAGAAATGGCCTTAGTCACTGCACATTTTGGGAGCGCATTTGGAGAGAGGAGGAGATGCGGTTAGGGAGTAGGCTAATCCAACCACCGGGTTAAAAAAAAAAAAAAAAGGGCAGTTTCAGATGGCTCATATTCCGCTGTAACTGTATTGTACCGTGACACCAGCTTTGAGCAGCGGCGGAGCACCAAAAGCGGGCGCACCCACAGCATCTGTACCAACACATCAGTGCTTCAGGAGGCACTTCTCCTCTCTGCAAGACTGGATGCGGAAGCGAGCGTGCGGCCAGTGGGGGGAAAATACTCGCAGCCGCACACTTTTACAGGGAATCGATTCTGTGATGACCGTGAGATTCCACAAGTAATATGCGCAACACTGTGGACTGCCCTATTTTTTTTTTCTCTCTCTCTCTCTCTCTCTCTCTCGCTTCCTTTCTCCTTACTGCTCAGTTGTGTTTCCTTATTCATTGTGCGCCCTATGAAGAGCATTAACTATCCCTCCCTCCAATCCTATTGAAAAGGGCTCCGAAAAAAAACAGAGGGAGATGAGAGCAGCAAATCCCTTTTTTATTCCCCTCGTAGCGCTCAATAAGAGAAGAATGTGTTGCCTATCAGTCACCGAGGGGATCAAGTCTTCGGGACTGTCCCACGCGTTCAATGCGCCGTGCAAAGCATCACTGAAAGAGACAGAGTGAAGAGGACTGCAGCAGCAGCAGCAGCAGCAGCAGCAGCAGCATCCTGCCTGGACACTTCACATCATTTAGCAACCTGTCTCCACTCAAGATCCATTTAAGTCAATTAGGAGCTGCCAGCTTCTTCTTCTTCTCCTCACCTTCCAGGTCCTCTCGGTGCTGTGGTGAGTATTTACACCTTGCATCTTTTGATCACAATCCAGGCGATCATTAAGATGCAATTATCACACAAATATTAGTTTGTAAGTGGAACAGCATGCATGGTCAGAGTTTGGTATTTTCTTGTTTTTAGTCTGTTTATTTGAAATATATTATAACTTTTGCATTTTTTTTTCTTTTTGTTGTTGTTGGAGTGTTTAGACAAATAATATTTAGAGCTGTTTGAGCGAAAGAAAAAAAATCCATGACAAGAAGAGTTGAAATTTGCCATTTTCCTCCTCATATTTGGACCGAAGTCACGATGAGGAGTCTGGCGCTGCTGTTAGGGGTGAAAGCCGCTTGCATCCTTCTGGTGTCTTCGCTCTCAGGCACAGGGGCCGTCAACAACAGCGGCCGGTGGTGGTGAGTCCAGCAGACCTTGCAGGCCTGTGTGATGATGATGATGATGATGACGATGATGATGATGATGATGATGATGATGCACTGATTCAGTAATCGGCACCCTGCTCCTGAAATCTTTAGAGCCAATTTAAGAAACAACAACAACAATATAAAAGATCCCGCGCTGCCTTGTACGAGCAACTACTTCACCACATTTCGTGCTGCATGCTCGAAATAATGTGTTAGTTTTGGAAGCGTTCACAACTTCTGTTCAGGGGGAGAAAAAAAAGAAAAGAAAAAAAAAAAAAAACAGCAACCGCATGGTATTAAGGCTTGTGGGGTTTTCGCTGTCAAATTGCTGAGCTCAACAACCAAGTATTTCACCTTTTTTTTTTCTCCCTAAAAATGTAATTTATCGTCCCTTCAGTGAAATTAGCTGCAGCACATTATTCGACAATAAACGAATTACATCTGTAATAATTACAGTTTTAGCCTCTTTTATTTGCGGTTTGGTTTAATTGACTCCCTCTCTCTCTCTCTCTCTTTCTCTACCTCCCCTCCTCTTTTTTTGGGACACTGTGGTTTGAACACGAGACAACATTTTTCAGTCCAATGTGGGATAAATTAAATATGGATTCATTTCATTGCTGAAAGGAATCCTTTACGAGGTCTTGTCCAGGGTCGTGTTGATCTAATACTGTACATTCCTCTGTCTATACAGCGACCTCAAACCAAAACAGGCAACCGCACAATATCTTTTTTTTTTCTAAATATAAAAAACAAAAATAAAATAGGATCTGCATAGTTGAGCACATTGTCTTGCTTGTTTAAAAATCTATAAACTGTGGGTTGGATTAGTTGAGGTAATGATTTAACGAAAGATTTTTTTTTTTGGCGGTGCCAATGAATGGATGGACAGTGTTTACGCACAACGGCATGCGCGTTTTCAAATGTTTAAAATGTCATCTGAAATCCAAGAAAATTAGGGAAGAAAACGGGGAACAATTCAGCTCTGGAAGGAAGAAAACACCCAAAAAAGGGGGGAGATTAGTGTTAATGTTCCCAGGCCCTCAACAGGCCAAGACTCGGCCGCTTTTCCGGATGATAATGCGCAACAGGAGACGCAGTCGTTACAATATACACGGAAAATAAAAAAATCACTGCAAATGCAACGTGAAGTGGAAAACTACACAGCCTGTTAAAACAGTCAGTGAAATATGACCACCAAAATGGGTGCATTTAAACTGTGTTCAGTCATCCAAAATCTGTAGCAGCACAGGTGTCATGTTTGGACACAAATAGACACTTCACAAACCTCAATAGCTGAATATTTACTGATATCATGCAACCCACTTCAATTGACTAATTTAATTTATCAGAATAAATCAGCATGGTTAGAATATTTGTATTTTTATGAGCCACTCATGCCATTATATAGTTCACAGAATTTTTAAAACATTTTTTTGGCAGGGAGCAATTTATGTGATTGCAGAAGATTAACACGTTTACAGATAAGAATAGGCCTCATTTGTCTAACCAGGAGTCACACTAAAGTCTAGAAGAGCACAGCTCACTTATCTTTAACTTGGTTTGACATATGGGTGAGAGAAAATGAGCAAGATTATTTTGTTTAATAACTCAACACAAATATAAACCTGCACAGGACAATTTCCTGATGTCCTCTCTGTGATACTGTCTTTATTCTGATGGGAGCGTCACTGATGCTGGATATTTAGCAGAAGAGTATATTCTAATCATGAAACTGACAGGAAGTTGTGTCCGGTCCAAGTGATTTATAAAGAGGTAAAAATCGTACAGTTTTCTGCCAAGCCTGAAACCTGTATTGTGACTCAGAGACTTACTGTCTCCTCACGGTCTTGGAACAGCATGTGTCACTGTTTATTATTGTACTACATAATGAAAACTGTAATTTTCAAAAGGCGCAACACTCACAGGATGCCAAGAGACATCAGTTTAGGAGTTCAGGGGGTCACCTAAGGAGCTACATGCGTGAATTGCCAGCTCCTTGACTCTGATTTCCTTTGTCCTTGTGTTGTGCCAGGGGTATTGTCAATGTGGCTTCCTCGTCCAACCTTCTCACCAATTCCAAGAACGTGCAGTTGGTCCTGGACCCAAGCCTGGCCCTTCTGAGTCGTCGCCAGCGCCGGCTGATTCGGCAGAATCCTGGCATCTTGCATGCCATCGCCGCTGGGCTGCACACTGCCATAAAGGAGTGCAAGTGGCAGTTCCGCAACCGCCGCTGGAACTGCCCGACCACCCACAGCCCAGCAATTTTTGGCAAAATTGTCAATCGTGGTGAGCCTCTCTTGTCTTTCTCACCAGGCAATATTTGGACAATTCTGGGCAGGATGTAATGGAATCTCTTGTACACATTTAAAAGGCTTTGTCTGTAAATACTTTCCAATTTTGGGCAAAAATTGGCAAATTCAAATCTAAAAAGCTGGATGAGGTTCTGATGGGAAGTTTTGATGTTGTTTCTTCAGGTTGCCGAGAGACAGCATTTGTATTTGCCATTACCAGCGCAGGAGTGACCCATGCTGTGGCTCGCTCCTGCTCAGAAGGGGCCATTGAGTCGTGCACATGCGATTATCGTCGCCGAGGTCCTGGAGGGCCAGACTGGCACTGGGGGGGCTGCAGTGACAATGTGGATTTTGGCCGGATGTTCAGCCGTGAGTTTGTGGACTCCAGCGAGAGGGGCAGAGATCTGCGTTACCTCACCAACCTACACAACAACGAGGCCGGCAGAATGGTGAGGCTTCAATGTGCCGTGATTGTCTGTCAGAATTTTCACATGAATCAAAAGGATTTGCTAGTCACGTTCTGTGAGCGAGTCCTCATTTGCAGTTCTTGATCTTTCTCTGCAGACTGTGTCTTCAGAGATGCGACAGGAGTGTAAGTGCCACGGCATGTCGGGCTCCTGCACCGTGCGGACCTGTTGGATGCGCCTGCCGAGCTTCCGCACAGTGGGAGATTTCCTTAAGGATCGGTTTGACGGCGCGTCCAGAGTTGTTTACGCCAACAAGGGGAGCAACCGTGCCTCTCACCGAGCCGACCCCCGACATCTAGAGCCTGAAAACCCGGCTCACAAACCCCCCTCTGGCATGGACCTAGTTTATTTTGAGAAATCGCCAAACTTCTGCTCTTACAATGGTAAAACTGGCACTTTGGGAACTTCTGGGAGAACATGCAACAGCTCTTCTCCAGGCCTGGACGGATGTGAGTTGCTATGCTGTGGACGTGGGTTTAAAACCCGGACTGAGAGTGTGACCGAGCGATGCCACTGCACGTTCCACTGGTGCTGTCACGTCAGCTGCCTCAACTGCACCAGCACACGAACGTTACACCAGTGTCTATGATCAAAGGTGGACGACTAGGCAAATATTTAGGCATACACGAGGAACAAAGAAGAACTCTGTAGCAAAACAGGTAGTCGGCTAACAAAGCCACTAGCACACAAGTGGTTTAAGATGTTAGGTAGAAGCTAGAAGAGCTTCAAGGCGGGTAAACAGGGAACTTCGTGGCACAAAAATTCAATCAGTGTTTTTGAAAGTAGGAGTAAAAGCACAAATATGTGAACAGGGTATAGAGGGAGTGTATGTGCTTGCTCTTTGCCTTTGATGCTTAACATTAATAAGTATTTAAACACAACAGCCATCCATGTAGAATGGAAATCACCCACATCCCTCAAGTGTTTACACTGTGGATAAATAGAAGCAAAGGGACAAAAGGATGTGGTGGAGAATTGATTGCTGTAACCAGGTACTACTAGAGCCGCCTTCTCCCCCACTGAGGGCAAAAACTGGACACAATGTTTCACAGATGTTTCTGTGGCCAGAGAGCCACAAACATGTGCTCTCATAAACTGGTGAGGACCTCTAACAAGAGGGAGGTTATTTTTAAAAAAACAGTTTTGTTTGCTTTTGCTGAAGTTTGGCCTCTCTCGCATGAAACTGTGTGAAGTTTATCTCCACGTATAGGCTATCTGTTCCCGGCGTGTGTACTTAGGACCTGGATGCAGCCCAACCACTTCTAATTTCCTTACCACAGTTGCCCTTTTTGTTTAGATTTCTCTGGAGTTGAATACACCTCAACCCAGACTTGCCACTCTTGACTTACCACAGGATGGTCCTGATGTTACATGACTGAGACCAGCGCTTACCAAGGAAAACAGAGACTGACTGAGTTAATCTTACTGAGGCAGTGTAATTTGAATGTATTATCAATACACTGAATATTACCGCATGACTAGATATAGTTTAGCAAATCTGTCGGGTCAGTATTAAAAAAATCGAAACACAACAATAATATTAAAATGTGACCTGCAGAATTTAAACTTGCTCTCAAAATGAAGCCACTGATGTTCAAACAAAAAATAAACCCACCACACTCCTGTAAATACATGTGAGCAGGGTTAAACTATTCCAGGTTGAAGGTAGGCAAATGGGGTATGACTTTAAACTAGGCTGTGAAAAAAAAAAGCTATGTTTAAGATGAAGTGTTTTATTGTTAGGATTACAGCCTCTGCGGAAAGAAAAACATACTGTATAGCAGCTAAGAGAACCAAAATGCTGTAAATATTAAAATATCTGAATATATTTATAAAGACGTCATTTGTAAGTTTGCTAAATGGTTTATGTGCCTGTCAGTGACTGGAGAACATGCTATCATTCGAGTCAAGTCAGGAGATGTTTGATCTTATGCCTTTTTTTAATTTGGGTGTAATGTAGTTGAGAAAAAAAAAAGACTTGCTAGAAACAAAACTTTATCACTTCTTTGCTTGTTTCCTGTAAAAAAAAGAACACTTGTGTTTGGTCATGCACTGAATATTTACCTTTTTTTTTTACGAGTGTAAATATGAAATATTTATTTCTGAGGATTTTTATACTGTTATAGAGAGATGTAAGAGAAAACATTTTTAGATTTTAATGAAAAGATTTAGGATCCAGTTGGTTTTGTACTGTATGATAGAACAATAAAGTCTATATTTTCAATTAAGTTGCCCTCCTGCATGTGTCAAAAGATGCTATTATGTCTGTTGTAGTTTCTGTGTTTGAGAGAGTTTTGACAACGGACCAAGTGAACATATAAGCCTGTCCCTGGGTGTCCTTTGCTTAATCCTATTACCACCACCAAAGCAGCCTCTTTCTCCAGCTCACAAAACATCCCTGCATCTGTGCTACCAACCACAGAGACAGAGCCTGCTTACTTAGCCACATACCTTATTTTATACAATATAGGAGTTTACTGCATTGAATGTTTTAGCTTTATTTGTTTAATGCCTGGAAGAAAAATATATGAAATATAATGAAAACCTAGAGTCTGCTCCAATGCCTGGCAACCCGACTAACCACAGGAGCTTGGAAAGCTTTGCACTCCTTTGCCCACCACAGTACAGGAGCATGCAGGGTCACCCAGATAAAGCACAGTGGAGGGAAAGTAGTAGGCAAAGACAACAAACTCTGACGAGAAAGATGGTGAATTAGGCTTTCTGCTGCAGTGCAGAATTACATCAGGCTTCTTTGCCAGTGAAATGAAATTAGAGGAAAAAAAAATTAAGTAACAAACTGAGCAGCGATTTCTCACCATTGCAAAGAAAGTTGAGAGTTTAATTCTCTGAAGAATGAAATGAACAAATCAGAGAAAACTGAATTGAAATACTGCAAATTAGGAGGTCCAATGAGGTGGAAGGCCTACAAAAACAGAAAGATGAGAGCTAGAAATTTATGCTGATTACAGAATAATACATCTGAGCGCTATAAAACTAATATTCTGTCTTTTATCACTGGAGAACTCGGGTAAACATATGCGAAAACATGATATGGCTTACAGTGTAATAACTGACAAACTGGAAAAATAGTTGGGAGCACAGAAGTACACACCATTTGAAAATTAGACGAATCTAGTGTAAAAGAGAAAAAAAATAAGCAATCATGGGTACACAGAAAGAAACAAAAGAACGAGAAAGTGGTAGAATTTCTTTTTTAAAAAAAAAGAAGAGGGAAGGCAGAGTTCAAATCCCAGGCATGAGAGTGAGGTGGGAGAGTTGGTGGAGAGTGAGTGGAGGGGGTGCTGCCTGTGGGAGTGCTGAGGAGTCAGTGATAATTAGCTCAATTAGTGACAAAGGCAGTGTAATAAATACCGACTTAGTGTCTGGGTCCCTGCTGGCCTCTCCCTGCGCAGCCTGCGATGTGGCCCTGGCCTGACGGACAATTCATTAAACTGACAAAATACCCCACCGTCCAGGCGTGACGCAGCGAGTTAGCCCCCTACAGGCCCAGCTCATTGTTCTAATTGTCTGGGCTGGAGTCACTTTGTGGCCGCCTCCTCTTTCACCCACCCCGCCTTCACACTCTGCCTTCAGAAAACCCATGGAGTTAATGCCCCTACCTTACTCTGCAAGTAGGTGATCGGCAGGTTGGAAAAAAAAAAAACAGTAAGAGTTCCTTGGGGTGGGGTTGCTGGTGGGGGAAGCAGTGGGATTAGCGAATGGAGGTTGCCTGGGAGTGCTGGGAGCAGCACTGATCGGAATGTAGGAGAGATGAGTCCAGAAGCTCGGATGCGGGACAAAGCGAGAGTTAATAAGGAAAGATTGAAGGGGCTGGCGACAATGGGCCGCCACCCGAGTCGAGATGAAATTGCTTCCGAGGATTATTGGGAGAGGGTGTGAGCGTTGTAGGGTTTTTGTGTGAGTACGAGTTTGGTTGGGCATTTGTGTGTTTGTGCTTCAGTGTGTGTGCAGGGGCAGGGGGAGTGCTGGATTGATGGCTGCCCCTCTGGTTGGGGAGCAGGGGACCAAGGGAGGCTAACCGGCTGTTCCCACAGTCTGTTCTGCTGCAGCCACCTTTGACACACGGGGCTGCCAGGCGGCAAGCAGGCAGCCATGGTGAGAAGGGCACAAACAAAAACAACAGCTCCGCTACACAAAAGTCACCCTCCATGGAAGGCCAGTGGAGAAGCGCAGACTGGAGTTGCCGATGTGAGGAGGGTTAGAGGGAAGGAGGGCAGCAAAGTGTGACAGCAAGGATAAGAAAAGAAATAGAGACAGTGCAAAATTGTATGGCTGAGTCCCACTTCGGTTTTGGATCCTACTAGCTGCTGTTATCTTGAGATAGTAAGACATCGACATCAAGTCGCAGCTTGATCATGATCAGGAAATGTACTGTATCACATTTGTAGTTCTTTTATACTTTCTGTCAAAATAAATTCCTTTTTATCAGGAAACAAATAATAACTTTTCGTTAAAGGGTGTAACAGGGTAAAAGGTTAACGGAGCAATTTTGTCATTTAAGTAACTTGACAAGAAGAAATTTAGCCACATTGCCTATGATTGGCCTCAGAACGACTGCGTCATCTAAAAAAGGTGTTCAACATACAAGTCTGAGCATGGAAATGGTTTTCACTTGCACAGATTGTTCTCCTTACACTAATGTGGCAAACAGGTCAATCAGCAGGAAAGATGCAGAGATGATGATATGGCACAGTTAAGGCACAGCAGCTTCACATTAAAATTCCTGCTAAATTGTTAAAAATGTCTGCCTGTTGGGTGGAGATGACTTTAATTTGAAGGGCGTACGATAAAGAATTTAGAATCGGGTTTGGGTCACAGCACTGAATGACAGCCTGCTTACAATGGTTGTGATGGACAATGTGGCATGGCATGGGTCTGGCGCACAATACTGATTATTTGATTTCCGTGCTGACCCAATATTTCATTGTAATGCTCGCGTTCGATGGGCCAAGCACCAATTAATTGGGGTATTGTTTTTACAGGAACACCCTCGTAAAGCTTGTGTAATAATGAGAAGCATTTGTTTGGTGCCATCAAGTGACCACAGGGCTATTATGTAATAAGAGATGCATTTACTGCCTCTTCCCTCACATATTACATCAAGAACCATAATCAACCAAACCTCACCTAAAGTTACATAAAACCACCAAGTGGATTAATAGCAGTCAATCTGGTGGGTCAGATTTACTCAAATTCAATTCATTTCTAGGAAACTGGAAAAAAAAAAAACATCACTGTGTTTATATCAAAGTTTGTGCACATACTCAAACCAGTGTGTGTATGTGTGTGTGTGTGTGTAAGAGTGTGTGTGGGTGTGTGGATGGCAGCTGGGAGGCAGACACGGTCCAGGAGAATCATCCCCTAGCAACTGACCTTTTCGGCAGATGGCAGTTCCAGAGTAACAGCCACCCAGCATCACAATGGCCGTGGCCTCCTAACATCTCCATCACTTCATCATCTACTGGCCTGCCACAACCTGTCACACAGGAGAGAGGGAAGGTTACATTCAGCCACGCGAATGGACACATATAAACACGAGTGTCCCCTCTTTTTTTTTTAAACAAATCCTCTTGCTTCAAGTCCAGGACATTCCAAAACATCAGTCTGTGTTCTGTTGTTTCCATGTTTCCCGGGTGTGCAGCAGGCCAGTGGTAGGGATGAGAGGAGGACTGATTTAGGAGAGACACACCGGACGCTCGCTGCTGTCCGCAAACCTTCAGACACTTTGAAACCACTGTTTTCCATTGTTGGGTTTTCTGCACATAGTGAAGCAGGGTGGGAATGTGGAGAGACCACTTGACCATGGTGAGCAATCAGTATGATGTCTGTGGTCAGGCTCTGTGCCCCTATGGAGCGAGATGGAGAGCAAGGCCTGCAGTTAAGCTGGGAGGGATAAAACTTTGCTGTGTCTGTGCATGCATGTGTGAGTGCTCTTCCCAAGTGGATAAAAATGTTCTCAATTGTAGCCTGCTGCATGTAAATCTGCAAGGGATGATAACATATTTTAACTTATCAACACCCCCACCCCTCTACACACACACACACACGCACACACACACAGACACACACACACGCGCGCAGCATGACCTCTGGATTGTCTTGGCCTGATATCCTCCTTTCTGTTGGCCCATTTTTTGTTGATATTAAATACTTTTCCCAACCTCAAAACTGCTGGGATAAACACCTCATCACCATGAAACATCACCTCTAGCTAAACACCTTAAAGTGGTTCTCAGTTCATTGCAAACACTGGATGGCCAGCTTTAGGTATCATTTGACATGAGATTTGGAATGCACAGGCAATAATTTGGTTAGAACGATTATCTACCAAGAAAAAGCAAAACTCCTCAGTTACACATCTGTGAATGGTTAACCTGGAAAGACCAGACAAGTGACAACAAACAGATATAGTGCCATGTCAGAACGGGTTCCACTGGGATTAAGTGTTTTAGATGGAAAAGTGTGCGTCAGAGTGCGACTTTAAACCGCTATGTATTCTAAGGGAGACGATATGCTAGCAAACACTGCAAGACCTCCTGTAAACAGAGCTGTAATGATAGGGAAAGACTTTGGGCAAGGACAACCAACAGTAGAATATGTTTACAGACATCTGACAATGTATGGGTACAGCATAGCAACGTTTCAGCTCTGCAATCCACACGAAATATGAGCGCAAACTGCGGTGGAACCCATGCGACACAACGTAAGCCCGTGCATAATTTCACCTGTCAGCAGGGATGAAGCCTGCATTTATTCAAATCAAACAGACATTATAAATTGCAGCAATATGTGTCTGGCGATGCTGAGTGTGAACACTTCTCCTGAACTGAATGTATCTTTGTAAAACTGTCTAAAACAGGATTTAAATGTATTCTGTGTTTAAATCAAACAACGAATCGTTTTTTTACTTGCCTAATTGTTTGTGCTGCCCAATGAAATATGACCAACCACAGCAGGTCAAAATGACTTTACCTGCTTTGCACTTTACCAGGAAAAATGGCTGTGATCGTTTAATTATCAGTTGGCCATTCCCTGGACCACAACACAACACCTTTAAACCAATAAACAGCACTGTGAAATTTCTGCTAGCATGTGGTAATCATCTCTAATCTGCATCTGTAATGCTGCTGGAAACAAAAAGGAGAAATACTCCGTTTTTGGTTTTAATTAAAAGCTGTGTTTTACAGCGACAGTGGGTGAGGGCTCA